AATTTAATGTACTACCGATGGGGCTGCACTCCGCACCAGCCACTTTTCAAAGATTGATGGAACTTGTGTTGTCTGGATTGCAGTGGGAGTCATGTTTAATATACCTTGACGACGTCATTGTGTTCAGTAACGATTTTGAGGGACATTTGCAGCGGCTACGGGCTGTGTTTGGCAGGGTACGGGACGCCAATTTAAAATTTAAACCCCAAAAATGCCATCTGTTGAGAACGTCAGTTAAATATCTGGGGCATGTGGTCAACGAAGCGGGGGTCGCCACAGACCCGGAGAAAACTAGTTGTGTTCGTGCGTGGCCAGTGCCTAAAACTGTGTCGGAAGTACGTAGCTTCGTGGGATTTGCGTCATACTACCGTCGATTTGATAAAAACTTTGCCACAATTGCGAGGCCGCTGCACACGCTGACTGCTAAGGGTAAGAAGTTTCTGTGGGGTGACGAGGAACAGCGTTCGTTTGAAACGCTCCGGGACGCTTTGGCGGACGCACCGCCGCTCGGGTATCCAAATTTTGCGGAAATGTTTATTTTGGATACCGATGCCAGTGATACGGGCATCGGCGCTGTATTGTCGCAAACGATTGACGGAGTTGAAAGGGTCGTCGCGTATGGCAGCCGGGTACTGTCCCCGGCGGAGCAAAGATATTGTGTAACATGCAGGGAATTGTTGGCGATTGTACACTTTGTGCAGCTGTATCGACCATACTTATACGGGCGACAATTTTTGGTCCGCACTGACCACGCGGCACTGCAGTACTCCTTGCGGATCGACCAACCCTCGGGCCAAATGGCCCGCTGGCTTGAGGTCCTGCAGGGATACTCATTCACGGTCCAGCACAGGAAAGGTACGCGGCACGTTAACGCGGATGCTCTGTCCCGATTGCCTCAGGCATTGGGCTTGTGTAGATGCTCCGAGGGATCGCTGCACTGTGGACCGCCGCTGCAGAGCATTCCGGGCATGGCCGCTGCAGCTAATTCGAACCAGCTTGACGAAGCACCGGCTAAAGAGCCTGGGTTGCTGGGATTGTCACGGGATCATTGGGTGCGCTTGCAAGTGGACGATCCTTCGCTTACCAAAATGAGGCCTCTCCTTTCAAACAGTCGGATGATCGGGCCTTTCTTCGACTCGTTGACGACCTCCTGGTCAGATGGGATGTCGTCTTGCAGAAGTTTTGTATTGTGGTACCACTGTGTTTGAGAGGGGATCTTATTCGCGACACGCACGAGCGATTGATGCACTTGGGGGAGAAGAAAACGGCTTTGACTTTGAGTAACGATTTCTATTGGCCAGGATTACAGAATGATGTTCATTTGTATGTTAAAGCTTGTCACGAGTGCGCATGGCGAAAGGCGCCGGCACAGCCATATCGGGTACCATTGCAGTCGATACGTGTTTCGCGGGTCAACGAGATTGTGGCCCTTGATATTCTGGGACCGTTCCCCGTTACCCCGCGGGGTCACAAATACCTGCTTGTGGGGGTCGAGTACCTCACTTGGTGGCCTATGGCATGGCCGCTAGCGGACCAATCGGCAGGATCAATCGTGGAGGCCTTCCTGCAGGGTTACGTTTTTTGACAAAGGTGCCCCAGAGCACCTGCTTACGGACCAGGGTAAAAAAATGTTCGTCCCGCCTATTGAAGGAAGTGTGTGACGCATTGGGTACAAGGAAAATTCGGACATCCCCATACCACCCGCAAACCGACGGGATGGTCGAACGTCTTCATCGAACATTGACATCTATGTTGTGCCAATAGGTTAATTCGGCTCAGACAGATTGGGATCTACATGTCCCGGCGGCTTTGGCCGCTTATAGATTAGCCCCACACGCTTCTACATGGTATTCGCCCTTATATTTGATGTATGGTCGTGAACCAGAAGCCCCGGCCCTGGTCAGGCTAGGTGTGAAATCTAAGAGTAAGTCGCAAGCGGTGCCTGTCCCCATGCGTGAGGCATTGGATCGGTTGAAAAAGGCCAGGGAGGCCTCGCTGGGGAATACAGAATGAAGGCAGGCTGCTAATGAGCGCCTGCACCGTACACAGGCTCCACGGGAACCATGGCTAGTGGGGGACAAGGCCTGGTTACATTGTTTGATGGTGCCGGTGGGCACATCACCGAAATTCCATCGGCCCTGGCAGGGGCCCGTTGAGATTGTGGAAGTTCGTCAGGATCAGAGTGTAAGGATTCGATACGGTCTGCGTTTGTGGCACATTCACCCGTCGCGCTTGAAGAGATATGTGGTGCCTTATGATGCGTCATCTCCCATCCCGGAACGGCCTGTATTGGATGTGTCCGACGAGCGTGCTGGGGGGCAACGGAAGGACACACCTCAGCAGTCTACCCCTCGTGTGTCTGCAGGATCACCATTTTTGAGGCAGGGGACACCCCGGGACGCACGAGGCCACGTTGGGGTCTCATCGAAGAATGGACAGGGTAACGGAGATGGACGCACGTTTCAGGCAGAATGCTGCCCCGTGCCCACGGACAGAGATACCCTGGCCCCTGTTCAGTCGAGTCGGGGTGACGGACCGGCCGCAGGAACCCGCTCAAGAAGATTGACTTTTTCTTAAAACTTTGGGGACTTGGGGATTGTGTACATTTTAGTGTCTGTTGTGCTTTTCTTGTATGTCATGGTTTCCATGTGGCGCGCTGTGTTTAGCCGGGACGGCTAACTTTTTCAACAGGGGGGGGGGGTAGGGGGGTGATGTAGGACTTGAAATATGGCGCGCCCCGCATTCTCTTGTGCTGTTGCTATGCAAGCGAGCAGTGTACAGTGGGGGGTATTTGAGGACGGTGTTGTTGTTGTTGGGCGTGAGGGAGACGCCGTTAAGAGGTGCGACAGGTGTTAGGGGTAACCGGGGGACACAGGCCGGTGATTGGTTAAGAGGGTGAGTGCTTAATGACTGGCGCCGCTCAGGCGGGAATAACAAAGTCACGTGAGGCTGGGGGGCCTGGGGGCGAGTGGTAAAGCGGGGGGGGGGGGGAGATAATTGATTGGGACTGATTGGTGTGGATATAAAAGGATAGCGTAACGTAGAGACGGGAGTCTGGGTTGAAGCTGGAGTGATGGTGGCCGGTGATAGATTTAGTTTAACAGCAGAGGTCTCACTCCAAATCAGTCGAGCGGCAATATATTTTCTTCGGTTGCGTAACGCTGTGTGGAAGCTACCTGCTCTGTCGCTCCGCACGAAGCTTCGGGTCTTCTCGGCCAGTTATTCCCTCCCTTCTCTACGATTGCGAAACGTGGACCCCCCTAATGGAGCATCTACGTCGGTTAGAAACATTTAGGCTGGCCTGCCTACGATCCATCCTGGGTTTGACCAAATCCTTGAAAAATCTGGGCAAAGTCCCATCGGTGAGCTCCTCCGGCAGGCAAGGCTGCGTTGGCTTGGGTCATGTAGCCCGCATGCCCAGCCACCGCATGCCTAAACAGCTTTTGTTCGGCCGGATCGAGGGGGATAAACGGGCGCGGCACGGGCTAAAGAAGAGATGGAGTGATGTGGTATAGGAGGACGTGGAGCTGAGTGGACTTGCCGATGACTGGTACCAGCGGTGTCAAGATCGGCTTCTGTGGAGGAGGCTCGTGAAGGACGCTTCTGGGCAGTTGGAGGCAGTCGCCCTCCAACAACGGAGGGCGGATGAGCGACACTCACAACAACGAGCGGAGCGCCGGGTGGCTAAAGCACAGCAAGTTGGCACAGTAGGGGGCACAGGTGGTGCATCAGCCAGTCATCTCGGTCATCTGAGTCAGTCGACCCGTGGCACCTGGGTCTGCCCCGTGACCTCCTGCCGTGGCCTCAAGGTGCACATGGCCTGGCACAAGCGTCGTGGTGACGTCACCACCACTTAGTGGCGAATGGCGGTTGTTGTTGAATGAGTGGGTGGCTGATTGAGTGGGTGGGTGGCTGAATGAGTGGGTGAATGAGTGGGTGGCTGGGTGAGTGCGTGAATGAGTGGGTGGCTGGGTGAGTGGGTGAGTGAGTGAGTTGGTGAATGAGTGAGTGGGTGAATGAGTGTGTGAATGAGTGGGTGGCTGGGTGAGTGGGTGAATGAGTGGGTGGCCGGGTTAGTGGGTGAATGAGTGGGTGGCTGGGTGAGTTGGTGAATGAATGGGTGGCTGGGTGAGTGGGTGAATGAGTGCGTGAATGAGTGGGTGGCTGGGTGAGTGGGTGCATGGCTGAGTGGGTGGCTGAATGAGTGAGTGGGTGAATGAGTGAGTGAATGAGTGTCTGGGTGAGTGGGTGGCTGGGTGACTGGGTGCATGGCTGAGTGGGTGGCTGAATGAGTGAGTGAATGAGTGTCTGGGTGAGTGGGTGAATGAGTGGGTGACTGAGTAAGCTCTCGGCACAGTGCCTACTACTGCAGCCTATTGGGGAGTACGACCCCTGCCGACTGTCCTTCCCCTCTCCTCCTGTCGCCAGCTCTCCTCTGCCTGGGCCCGCCGTGCCCAAGATTTCAAGAGCTCCGCCGGTGCCACAATCCACCCCCTCCCCCTCCTCTCCAAATCGGTTGGAAATCCCGGCACGGGTCGCTGCCACTCCTCGCGAGCTGCAGTGCTGGCAGTGGGAGTTGACAGCTGACAACGGAGAGCGCCGGGATCTCCTGGAGGACCCCAACTGCGCGGCAGGGGAATCGACGCGGGATCGAATGTTTGTAGATTGGCCTGTGAATGGAGTTACAAATGGCTTTGGATGAGGGTCGAGGGGGTGAGGTTGGATGGCACAGCAGTCAATCCACGGCACCTGCTGGGTCTGTCCCATGACCTCCTCCTCCTGCACCTAGCCTGGCACAGCAGCCAACCCGTGGCGCCTGCAGGGTCTGTCCCGTGACCTCCTCCTCCTGCACCTAGCCTGGCACAGCAGCCAACCCATGGCGCCTGCAGGGTCTGTCCCGTGACCTCCTCCTCCTGCACCGCGCCTGGTACAGGCGAGCTCCATTGGTGTGGGTTTCGCTGGGATTTCCTCCGGAAGCAACGACGATCCGCAACTTGAGCTCGACGAAAATTGGTTTAATCCAAAAAAATGAAATTTCCGTCACCCGCCAAAGGAACAACAACAACAACAAGACCATCAACAACATCAACAACAACGAAAGGTCGACTTAGCAAGCCGCACAGGTCGCAGCGGCGTCCCCGTCGCTGTTGATTATCATCAATTAATTAATTATATATTTCAAAGGGGGGGGGGGGGCGATCCGCGTCACTGTCAAGGGCCTCGTCAAATCAACGCCGCGAACGTCCACCTCGTCACGTCCACCTCGCCACGTCCACCTCGCCACGTCCACCCTCGTCACGTCCACCCTCGTCACGTCCACCCTCGTCACGTCCACCCTCGTCACGTCCACCCTCGTCACGTCCACCTCGTCACGTGCACCTCGTCACGTCCACCCTCGTCAGTCACGTCCACCCTCGTCACGTCCACCCTCGTCGTCGTCGTTTGCCGGAGGGGAGCGTTGCTGGAAAAGTTTGACCGGCTGGCTGGCTGACCTGTGTGTGGTGAGTCTGTGGTGGGTCTCTGTGAGAGTCTACGAGTGAGTCTGTGGGTGTCTGTGTGGTGAGTCTGTGGGTCTCTGTGAGGGTCTACGGGTCTCTGTGAGAGTCTACGGGTCTGTGTGTGGTGAGTCTATGGGTCTGTGTGTTGTGAGTCTATGGGTCTGTGTTGTGAGTCTCTGGGTCTGTGTGTGGTGAGTCTATGGGTCTGTGTGTGGTGAGTCTATGGGTCTCTGTGTGAGTCTATGGGTCTGTGTGTTATGAGTCTATGGGTCTCTGTGTGAGTCTATGGGTCTGTGTGTTGTGAGTCTATGGGTCTCTGTGAGAGTCTACGGGTCTCTGTGAGAGTCTATGGGTCTGTGTGTTGTGAGTCGATGGGTCTCTGTGTGAGTCTATGGGTCTGTGTTGTGAGTCTCTGGGTCTGTGTGTGGTGAGTCTACGGGTCTGTGTGTTGTGAGTCTATGGGTCTGTGTTGTGAGTCTCTGGGTCTGTGTGTGGTGAGTCTATGGGTCTGTGTGTTGTGAGTCGATGGGTCTCTGTGTGGTGAGTCTATGGGTCTGTGTGTGGTGAGTCTATGGGTCTCTGTGTAAGTCTATGGGTCTGTGTGTTATGAGTCTATGGGTCTCTGTGTGAGTCTATGGGTCTGTGTGTGGTGAGTCTATGGGTCTCTGTGTGGTGAGTCTATGGGTCTGTGTGTTGTGAGTCGATGGGTCTCTGTGAGTCTATGGGTCTGTGTATTGTGAGTCTATGGGTCTCTGTGTGAGTCTGTGGGTCTCTGTGTGGTGAGTCTATGGGTCTCTGTGTGAGTCTATGGGTCTGTGTGTTGTGAGTATATGGGTCTCTGTGTGGTGAGTCTGTGGGTCTCTGTGTGAGTCTATGGGTCTCTGTGTGAGTCTATGGGTCTGTGTGTGGTGAGTTAAAGGGTCTCTATGTGAAGCCGACACCACAACCGACTTTGCCAGCGAGCCCCCGGCACCAAAGACGTCCCCCCCCCCCCCCCCCCCCCCCCCCCCCCCCCCCCCCACGGAGCAAGACGCGGGCCGTTCGCGGTGTTTCACCGCACCGCTCGCCGCCACTCGGCCAATGTCGGCGAGGGGACATGGCACCACGAGCCCGTTTCGGTTTTTACCGACAAAAAAAAAGAACCAGTGGAGGAAGAGAGACGCCGAAAAGGCACGGCAAGATTTGGCGCCGAGTTTTTTTTCCTTTTCGCGGCGACCTCAAAAACAACATTCCGTCATGCGCCTCCAGTTTCATACCGCAGCGGTTAGACCAGAGCAGCTTGGCCAAAGCGGTGAAGCCAAATCGTTTAAACCTAAAGCGGTGAGGACAAACCGGTTAAGCCAAATCGGTGAAATTAAACCGGTCAAATCAAATCGGTTAAATCAAACCGGTCAAATCAAATCGGTTAAACCAAACCGGTAAAATCAAATCGGTCAAACCAAATAATTTAAACCAAACCGTTTAAACCGAACCAGTCAAATCAAAGCGCTCAAATCAGATCGGTTAAACCAAAACCGGCCAAACCAAACCACAGCTCCGGCACGGAACAGAGACAGGAAGCGTCAAGGAAGCGTCAAGGAAGCGTCAAGGAAGCGTCGCTCCACCGGCCGGGCAAACGTCGTCGTCGTCGTCAAAGTCTTTCCGCTCTCTTGCCTTTTTTCGCGTTGAAACGGGTTCACGTTTTTGTTTGTTAATATTAGGTACAATATTCTACAATGCTTCCACATCACCCCCCCCCCACCCCAACCCCACTCCCCAAAATTCTAAATATCAGGGTTTACACGTGTGGTGTCGTGTGTGTGTGTCGTAGCATGCGTGTGTCATGTGTATAGTGTGTGCGTCTCATGTGCCGTGTGTGCATGTCGTGTGTGTGGTGTGTGTGCGTGTCGTGAGTGTGTGGTGTGTGTGTGGTGTGTGCGTGTCGTGTGTGGTGTGTGCGTGTCTGGTGTATGGTGTGTGTGGTGTGTGTGTGTGCAGTGTGCTCGTGTGTGGTGTGTGTGCGTGTCGTGTGCGGTGTGTGCGTGCGTGTGGTGTGTGTGCGTGTCGTGTGGGTGGTGTGTGCGTGCAGTGTGCTCGTGTGTGTGTGTGTGGTGTGTGTGCGTGTCTCTGTGTGTGGTGTGTATCGTGTGTATATATATTTATGTATACGGTATATACTGTACTTTACAACGACCGAGAGAGAGAGAGAGAGAAGGAGAGAGAGCGAGCGAGAGGGAAGGAGAGAAACACAAATCGCCGGTGAGAGTCGGTGGGCGCGCGACGCCGATGACCGAGGCACTGCGACTGGCACCTCAGCCCGCCGTGACATTCCAACAATCGAGATTCGTGCGGAGATCAACGCGACACACACAGACTACAGTCACCCACCAGTAGATTCCTACCACGACGACTCCCCCCACGGTGGATGTGTCACCGTGCCGCTGCTCGCCTAGCCACGCCGCTACCCACGCCACCACCGCTACCACCGCCGCCACCGCCACTACCCACGCCGCTACCGCTACCCACGCCGCTACCGCCACCGCCGCCACTACCCACGCCACCACCGCCACCACCCACGCCACCACCGCTACCACCGCCGCCACTACCCACGCCACCACCGCTACCACCGCCGCCACTACCCACGCCACCACCGCCACCACCCACGCCGCTACCGCTACCCACGCCGCTACCGCCACCGCCGCCACTACCCACGCCGCCACTACCCACGCCACCACCGCCACTACCCACGCCGCCACTACCCACGCCACCACCGCCACCGCCGGCTGCGATTCCACGTCCCCTTCCCTCAACCGCAGGGACGCCGAGTTTCTTAAATCCTCCCTCCCCTCCCTCCCCTCCCCTCTCCCCTCCCCCCCTCCCTCCACCAACCACCGCTGCAGCCGTCGCGGCAACGGCCCAGGGCAGCGGCGGTGGTGAAGCGGCGATCTCCCTTCAGCCTCTCCGTGAGTGCCAAGACTCACCCTGGGCACACGCAGCAACAGAGGCATGGCTGGGGTAACCCGGTACGTGTGGCTGGGGTAACCTGGTACGGTGCCTGGGGTAACCTGGTACGTGTGGCTGGGGTAACCTGGTACAGTGCCTGGGGTAACCTGGTACAGTGGCTGGGGTAACCTGGTACACGTGGCTGGGGTAACCTGGTACAATGCCTGAAGTAACCTGGTACATGTGGCTGGGGTAACCTGGTACGTGTGGCTGGGGTAACCTGGTATGTGTGGCTGGGGTAACCTGGTACAGTGGCTGGGGTAACCTGGTACGTGTGGCTGGGATAACCTGATACACGTGGCTGGGGTAACCTGGTACACGTGGGTGGGGTAACCTGGTACAGTGCCTGGGGTAACCTGGTACAGTGGCTGGGGTAACCTGGTACTGCGCCTGGGGTAACCTGGTACAGTGGCTGGGGTAACCTGCTACACGTTGCTGGCTGGGGGTAACTGCGCTACGGAGACCGCTGGCGGTGCGGATCAAATGGTCAAATTATCAAGTGATTAAGTGACCATGTGACCATGTGACCATGTGATCAAATTAAAAAGTGACCGAGTGATGAAGTGATCAAATGATGGAGTAATCGAGTACTCGAGTGATCAAATGATCTCCGGCGGAGACGCGTCGTGATCCGGTGTGCGTTCACCGTACATCGCTTACTCACTGTGTCTCTCTCCGTCTCTCCTCCCCTCTCTCTGTCTCTCTTTCCTCTCCCTCTCTCTGTCTCTCTCTCTCTGTCTCTCTCTGTCTCTCTCTCTGCCTCTCTTTCCTCCCCCTCTCTGTCTCTCTGTCTCTCTCCTCTGTCTCTCTCCTCCCTTCCCTATCTCTCCTCTCTGTGTCTCTCCTCCCTCCCCTCTCCCTCCCCTCTCCTCTCTCTCCTCTGTCTCTCCAAATTCTCGCTTCTGATCACGCCCACTCGAGCGACGCTTCCAGTATGTGGTGAGGGTGACACACAGGGTGACACACAGGGGTAGTGGTGACACACAGGGTGACACACAGGGTGACACACAGCGTGACATACAACGTGACACACAGCGTGACACACAGCGTGACACACAGGGAACGTGGTGACACACAGAGTGACACACAGCGTGACACACAGCGTGACACACAGGGTGACACACAGGGTGACACACAGAGTGACACACGGAGTGACACACAGGGTGACACACAGAGTGACACACACAGAGTGACACACACGGAGTGACACACACGGAGTGACACACAGGGTGACACACACAGAGTGACACACACAGAATGACACACAGTGACACACACAGTGACACACAGGGTGACACACAGAGTGACACACAGGGTGACACACAGGGTGACACACAGAGTGACACACACAGAGTGACACACGGAGTGACACACAGGGTGACACACAGGTAGTGGTGTGCAGCGGCTGGACAAATAATTTTCCACATCGCCAAGCCAACTAGACCTAAAGTTGATGGGTCTCTATCTGGTGATTCTACGGGTCTCTGTGTGAGTCTATGGGTCTCTGTGTGGGTCTATGGGTCTCTGTGTGAGTCTATGGGTCTCTGTGTGGGTCTATGGGTCTCTGGTGAGTTGATGGGTCTCTGTGTGAGTCTATGGGTCTCTGTGCGAGTCTATGGGTCTCTGTCTGGTGAATCTATGGGTCTCCGTGTGAGACTATGGGACTCGGTGTGAGTCTATGGGTCTCTGTGTGGGTCTATGGGTCTCTGTGTGAGTCTATGGGTCTCTGTGTGGGTCTATGGGTCTCTGGTGAGTTGATGGGTCTCTGTGTGAGTCGATGGGTCTCTGTGCGAGTCTATGGGTCTCTGTCTGGTGAATCTATGGGTCTCCGTGTGAGACTATGGGACTCGGTGTGAGTCTATGGGTCTCTGTGTGAGTCTATTGGGTCTCTGTGTGAGTCTACGGATCACTGTGTGGTGAGTTAATGGGTCTCTGTGTGATTCTATGGGTCTCTGTGTGGTGAGTTAACGGGTCTCTGTGTGAGTCTACGGGTCTCTGTGTGAGTCTACGGGTCTCTGTGTGAGTCTACGGGTCTCCGTGTAAGTCTATGGTCTCTGCTAGACGGATCGGGGGCGTGTGAGGGAGACAGACGGAGAGACAGACAGAGGCATCTAAACTGGGGGATCAAGATGGAGGCATCACAAACGGAGTGAGCCAGGCGATGGAGTGAGCCAGGCTGCTGCGGGGCCCGGCTGGCTCACAGGATCACGCAGCAGTTGCTCTCCTCGGTCTTCCCGCGGTTCCTCTGACCTGCGCAGCACACAGACAAAGGCGCCACCCACCCTGAAGCCCACGCCGACCGTAGGGGCAAGTGCTGCTAGTAGCAGCGGTACCTGCGAAGGCTACCGGCACTGTGGCACACACAGAGGTGGGTGGCCAGCACCATGCCCGCCCGGCCACCTTTGTCTCCCCGCAGCACACCGCGCCAGCTGCTTATTTGAGGCTGAATCGACCCAGGTGAGAGCGAGGACAGGTTCAGATCATCGCCGTCACTGCCGTCGCGGGAATCGGACTCGGGTCGCTGGGTCGGTAGCGCTAACCGCTGCGCCACCGCTCCCCACTTATATCCACCCAAAGACAAAGATCCCCAATATAGGCAGCAATGGACTTTTGGGGCAAGTTCTGTTAGCAAGCAACAGGGAAGGTCAACAACAACAACCACCATTTGCCACTAAGTGGCGGTGATGTCACCACGACGCTTGTGCCAGTGGTAGAGCATTTGACTGCAGGGAAGGTCACAAACACACGCACGCGCACGCACGCGCACGCACGCGCACGCACGCGCACGCGCACGCACGCGCACGCACGCGCACGCACGCACACACACGCACGCCAAGACACCACAGACACACACACACACAGACACGCACACACAAAGATATGAACACACAGAGACACGAATACACACAGACCTGAGTACACACACACACAAACATACACAGAAACACAAATACACACAGACACGAATATACACAAATACACACATACATGAATATACAGAGATACAAATACACACAGACACGATACACACAGACACACAAACATACAGACACAAACACACAGACATGAATACACACAGACACAAATACACAGAGCCACATAGACATGAATACAGAGACACACAGACACGAGTACAGATAGACACAGACATGAATACACACAGACACGAATATAGACACACACTGACATAGACATACAGACACACACACAGACACACACGAGTGTGTGTCTGTGTGTGTGTCTGTCTGTGTGTGTGTATCTGTGTGTGTCTGTGTGAGTGTGTGTGTGAGTGTGTGTGAGTGTGTGTGTCTGTGTGTGTCTGTGTGAGTGTGTGTGTCTGTGTGAGTGTGTGTGTCTGTGTGTGTGTCTGTGTGTGTCTGTGTGTATCTGTGTGTGTGTGAGTGTCTGTGTGTCTGTGTGTGTGTCTGTGTGTGTGTGTGTCTGTGTGTGTGTGTATCTGTGTGAGTGTGTGTGTCTGTGTGTGTGTCTGTGTGAGTGTGTGTGTCTGTGTGAGTGTGTGTGTCTGTGTGAGTGTGTATGTCTGTGTGTGTGTCTGTGTGTCTGTCTGCCTGTGTGTCTGTGTCTGTGTGTCTGTGTGAGTGTCTGTGTTTGTGTGTCTGTGTGTGTGTGTCTGTGTGTCTGTGTGACCAGCTAGTTGTGCCTCAGGCTTGTTCCATCTGGCCCGGCCCTCTAGCTGCTACCGTAGGCGCACACCAGGCTCAACATCCCTAGTGAGTCGGTACAGTCAGCAGCTGCCAACGCCGAACCCCGGGCGGCAGTTAACTAACCTGGCAAACTCAGCTTGTCTGAGCCTGGGCGTGTGGAACCCCTGGTGGAGGAAATTCCACCAAAAACGGGTCTTTGGACCTTCCACTGCAACCAGGACCATCTCCAGTCGTCTTGACTACGTCTTGCCACTAGGTACAGATGCGGCTGGTCGAGAGAGTGAGGTTGACGCTGCGCAAATCACCCTCACTTAAATCCAAGTTCTCTGCGCAAGTCATGGCACTTTTATTTACCATCGTCTGTGTGAGTGTGTGAGTGTGTGTGTCTGTGTGTGTGTGTGTCTGTGTGTCTGTGTGTGTGTCTGTGTGAGTGTGTGAGTGTGTGTGTCTGTGTGAGTGTGTGAGTGTGTGAGTGTGTGTGTCTGTGTGAGTGTCTGTGTTTGTGTGTCTGTGTGTGTGTGTCTGTGTGAGTGTGTGAGTGTGTGTGTCTGCGTGTGTCTGCGTGTGTGTCTGCGTGTGTGTCTGCGTGTGTGTCTGCGTGTGTGTCTGTGTGTGTGTCTGTGTGTGTGTCTGCGTGTGTGTCTGCGTGTGTGTGTCTGTGCGTGTGTCTATGTGTGTGTCTGTGTGTGTGTCTGCTCACCCTGTGAGTTTGGCTCTGGAAGGTTCTCGCGCGCCACCAGGTGCATGACGGTCGTCTTGCCCAGCGGCAGCTTCAGAGCTGAGGGGTACAAAGACAAAGACAAACCCTCGCACGGAGCCTTCACAGAGTGTTGGGGCAAGAGCTGTTAGCGAGCAGCACCTGACGGGTACACACAGACACACATTCACACACAGACACACGCACACACAGACACACACAGACACACACCCAGACACAAGCACACACAGACACACACGCACGCACACAGACACACATTCACACACACACACACGCACGCACACAGACACACAGACACACATGCACGCACACAGACACACAGAGACACACACAGACACACACGCAGATACATACACACACCAAGACAAAGATCCCCCATTTAGCCTTAACAGACTGTAGGGGCAAGTGCTGTTAGCGAGCACCTATGAAGGCCGGCACGGCACACGAGGTGGTGGGTGGCCAAGACCTTTGTCTTCCGAGTGGCGATGTTTACTACACACCGTACCAGGTAATCATTTAAGGCTGAGTCGACCTAGGGGAGACCCAGGACCGGTTCAAATAATGGCCACTGGTGTTGGCCGTGAGCGGGAATCGAACTCGGGTTGCCGGGTTCATAGCGCAGCGTAGCGCTAACCACTACACCCACCGCTCCCCCAGATACACACAGTGGTGGTGGTGTGCATCGTCATCGTCATCACTGCTACTGTGATTGCCACCATCATCGTTATCATCACCGCTACTGGGATTGCCATCATCATCACTGCTACTGTGATTGCCATCGTCATCATCATCGTCACCGCTACTGTGATTGCCATCATTGTCATCATCACCGCTACTGTGATTGCCATCATCATCACTGCTACTGTGATTGCCACCATCATCATCATCGTCACCGCTACTGTGATTGCCATCATTGTCATCATCACCGCTACTGTGATTGCCATCATCATCACTGCTACTGTGATTGCCATCGTCATCATCATCGTCACCGCTACTGTGATTGCCATCATTGTCATCATCACTGCTACTGTGATTGCCATCATCATCATCATCACCGCTACTGTGATTGCCATCATCATCATCACTGCTACTGTGATTGCCATCATCATCGTCACTGCTACTGTGATTGCCATCATCATCGTCACTGCTACTGTGATTGCCATCATCGTCACTGCTACTGTGATTGCCACCACCATCATCACTGCTACTGTGATTGCCATCATCATCGTCACTGCTACTGTGATTGCCATCATCATCGTCACTGCTACTGTGATTGCCATCATCATCATCACTGCTACTGTGATTGCCACGACCATCATCACTGCTACTGTGATTGCCATCATCATCATCACTGCTACTGTGATTGCCATCATCATCATCACAGCTACTGTGATTGCCATCATCATTATCACTGCTACTGTGATTGCCACCACCACCATCGTCACTGCTACTGTGATTGCCATCGTCATCATCACTGCTACTGTGATTGCCACCACCATCGTCGTCACTGCTACTGTGATTGCCATCATCATCATCACAGCTACTGTGATTGCCATCATCATCATCACAGCTACTGTGATTGCCATCGTCATCATCACTGCTACTGTGATTGCCACCACCATCATCGTCACTGCTACTGTGATTGCCATCATCATCATCACAGCTACTGTGATTGCCATCATCATCACAGCTACTGTGATTGCCATCATCATCATCACTGCTACTGTGATTGCCACCATCATCGTCACTGCTACTGTGATTGCCACCATCGTCGTCGTCGCCGTGGCCACGGCTGCTCGCTACCTCCCAGCGTCACGTTGCCGTGCAGGAAGCGTCCCTGGTAGATGAGGCGCAAGATCCCCGGGCTGCTGACGTGCTCCTCCTCCCAGTCTACACGGCGGGGGGAGGGGGGGGGGCACAGCGGGGGGGGGGGGGGGGCACAGCGGGGGGGGGGGGGGCACAGCGGGGGGGGGGGGGGGGGCACGGGGGGAGGGGGGGATGCACAGCGGGGGGAGGGCTCGCAGTTAAGATCTAGCAGTCCACCCTGGTTAATGTCCACAGTGTGTAGTAGTGTATAGTAGTGTTTAACAGTATGGTGTATAGTAGTGTAGTGTATTGTAGTGTAGTGTATAGTGTAGTGTATAGGTTAGTGTATAGTAGTGTAGTGTATAGTGTAGTGTATAGTAGTGTATATAGCAAAATAAATAGCAGTGTGTATAGCAGTGGTTTATAGCAGTGCATAGAAGTATAGTGTATAGTAGTGGTGTAGAGTAGTGTAGTGTATAGTGTAGTATATAGCAGTGTAGTATAATGTAGAGTATTGTAGTGTAGAGTCATCTTGGTTCTTTCGGTAAAGTCACGTAGATAGAAAACAACAATATCACATTTAAATATAAAACATCCAAACGCACGCAACGCGGTGACCACCGCCTTTAGTCGACGGTTCGCCACCATGAGCCACCAGCTGCGGCTGCGAGGATGACGAGGGGAGTTGGCGTGACGATGGTTTACGCTCCTTGACGAGCTCGGCAGCCACGTTAGTGGTGACACGATCGCCACGAGCTGTCCCCGCCCAGCTTTGATTACTGAAACCTTGCTCGACCACAACCATTTGGCCGATTTGGTCCCCGGTTGGGTATTCAATGTTACACATTCCCAGACCAGGTAAAAACAGGGGTGGCGGTGATCTTTCAGACTGGTCTCAAACTTGATTTGGAGCTTTCGTGACTGCAGGAATTACTCCTTGGTTCTTTCGGTAAAGTCACGTAGAATTTTTTAAAAATATTTTATTTCTTTTTTCAGACTGGTCTCATCTGCGCCGTGTGGCTCCTGCTCCCAAGGTTTGGCCATTTGAAGGCACGATGGTGCATCAAGCCCTGAATGTGAATCAAGGCATGTACATCACCGCTTGTTCAGACTGCCTGGAAGCAAAGGACTGAATTTTTTTATCTCATTCAGTCCGAGGTAATCTCCCCCCCCCACCTTGTTCCTGGAATTCTCTCGTACAATTGTGCCGAGAGATTTCAACACATGGACGGATGACCCATCAGACAGCTTGGCTACACAGAACCTCTCGGACACCACGGCTGCCATGGTTATTTACTCGGTTTATCCAGGGCCCAACCCATGATCAAGGCCACACAATCAACCCCCCAGTATTCGCCCAGGCGGTCTCAGTTGGGAGTCATTAAATGTTCGTCCGCACTGTGCACTGATCACAGGGTGACTCATGCTGACATCAAGGGTCTCCCCCACCCCTGTCTCCGATGGTCTGGGGGGACTTCACGGAGGCTGGCTGGGTTCGGCCCGAGAGGCGAATGACGCCTTGTCGGGCCCACATTTCGTCTGTGACCGTTGTACCCATCACGGAAAGGGTTGACGAACACAATTCAGTGTTCTTGGTTCTTTCGGTAAAGTCACGTAGAAGGGAAATAATAAAGCAATAAAAATAAAACAATAAAATTCTCACGACGTTTCGATTGCAACACAAGCAATCACACATCGTGATGATTTTATGGTTTTATATGAAATTGAATCCCTGCAGTCATGAAAGCTTTAAATCACAATTCAGTGCTTTGATCTGCTATCGATCACCTCGCTTCTCGCCGCCGTCTTCGTGCTCAAGTGACCACGACCCCCCCTCCCCCCTCTATCTGGTATTCCAGAGACCTGGAGGCGCCCTGAAAGTACAACTTAGGAAAATGGAACGATGCTGGCGCAGATCTCAGCTCGATGATGACCGAACAACTCTACGGGCCTGTCGACGGGCTCACGCACACGCTTGCCATGGAGGGGAGGGGGGCTATCTTTGTGGCGAAGACAAAGTGGCGTCGCCATGAGGATAGACTCGGCAAGGAACACGCCCTGCTGAGCTGTTCAGGATGGCCAACAGTTCGAGTCACCCACATAAGATTGCTCCCAAAAAGCGCTGCAATGGTTTCCATCGGTCCTTTGTTAATAGAAGTGATCACTTTGGAGGGGGGTATCTGCCCAGCAATTAGTCCTGATGCTGGCTTGGACCCAAGGGCTCCTCTCTAATCTTCGAGGCTTTTTTTTTTTTTACCGGTCCTGCCCACAGACCTCGTTCAGACTCCTGCGGAGATGCAATGGGCCACCTGTGATTTAGATGCCCGGCCCTTCTTGCCCCTTGAGCCGGTGATCCCGGCGGTGACCCAACTGGTCAACTCTTCCCTTTCAGCGCAAGCGCTCCCGGGGGATCCCTGAAAAGGGGCTTTAGTGCGACCACTTCCAAAGGAGACGGGACTGGAATGTCGAGATCCTGGCCAACTGATCGCCCGATCTCCAATCTCCCCTTTCCCGGGAAAGATTATGAAAAGGGTGTCCTCCTCCCAGTTGGAGTGGTACGTTGAGGCCGAGTGCTTCTTTGACATCACTCAATCAGGCTTCAGGGCCGATCGTGGGACTAAGTCCGCCTTGGTTTGCATGGCAGGCGATCTCCTTGTGTTGATCTCCAACTGCTCAGCAACTCCCAGGTCTAGGATGCGCTCTTTTGGTGATCGGGCTTTGTTAGCATGGCACCCACAAGCCATGGAACGCTTTGCCAATTGAAATAAGGCAGAGTCGGTAGATATCTATATATAAAAAAGGGAAATTTGTGAATGTGTTTGTCTGTTCGAAATGTTTAGCGTGCTTCCCAACATGCAACAAACTTGAAATTTGGCATGTGGGTGGCTTCCACACTGTACACAATGGAACAAGTCTAAAAATAGACTTGTATTTTGAGGGGGGGGCATAATAATAGGTATAAATTGCACGCCAAGTGAGCGGTGATGTCACTTCTGTGACGTCACATCTGTGATGTCACCCGCATGCGGAAGCGTCACGCAGTGTGCCTGCTGACGTCACGCACCCCCCCCCCCACCCTCCGTGTAGGCCGTGTATTAATCCAAGACAAGAATCCAAGTCTCGGGCGAAGCCAGGTAGTAAAGAGAGTCGTTTATACAAGAATTGGGTTTACCCTTTCTGGCAATAAAACAGTTTTGTGAAGATGTTAAAACAACAAACAGAAACCTTCAGCAAGGAATCGTGTCTCCATTAACCACACCAGAGACAGCTTTCTTTAGAGCCTCGTCTCAAACAGTGTGAGGCCACAGGACAACGCCAAAAGGCAAACAGCACGAAGAAAGCTGTCTCTGGTGTGGACCAATCAGTCCCAAAGACAACGCATTATCATAGACTACCAGAGCATGTGTTTGCTTGCATGTTCACCACAAGTAAGTGTAAGTGCTTAATGCAGTCCATGATCCCTTGCAAAAGGTTTCTGTTTGGTGTTTCAACATCTTAACACAACTCCTGTTTCGTTACCAGAAAGGGTAAAACCTATTCTTGTATTGTGATATACTGGTAAGGGAGGTCCCATGAGATAGCTTTAAGTCTGCTTAGAAACCACATCTCTCTAAAGTGGCCTTGCCTCTTTTAGTTTGGGTCGGTTGCCCCCTGGTTCTGATAATAGGGTTTTTACCCTTTGTTCTGGCAACAAAACTTAAACCTTTTACAAGGACGCCAAAAGGCGTCCTCTGGTCAAGCACCAATTGGGTCGAGGCTCAAAAGAAAGCCGTCCGTTGGTGTGGACCAATCAGTCTCAAGGACAATGCATAGATTATCAGTGTGTTTTTTTTGTTTGCATTTGACCGTAAATATTGTGGTTAATGCAGACATGGATCCTTGTAAGAAGGTTTCAGTTTTGTTGCCAGAAAAAAGGGGAAAAACCCTATTATTATATGTTGGTACTAGCAAAGGAGGTCTAATAATGTAGATGCTCACCCTGGTTCTGATTTTTGTCCCCTGCTTTCCACGCACTGCGCATTGAGATCCTAGGACGGAAATGCCGCATTATACATTTGTACGAATCATTATCACGATTGTACGGGCTCAGAGAGTCGGCCGAAGATGGCTCAGGGGGAGCTTGAGCCGCCGTCAATTAACGGAGTAACGCTCTCTCCCCGCGACCGTGGCGCCCAGCCTGGGCGTGCTGCTCGATCGTGGCTTCACCGTGCGCCCTCAGGTTGCAGCTGTGGCCACATGGTGGAGTTCTATCACCTAAGAGCGCTCCGGGTTCGTAAGCTGCAGCCGGTGCCGAATGCGGCTTGCCCAGCATGCTGAAGAGGCGTTGGGCGAGCGCGTGAAACCAAGTCTCCGCGGCCTGCACTGGCTACCAGTCAGCTCTCGCGTACAACTTGAGTTGGCTACCGTAATGACTCGTGAAGTGCTCAAAACGGCCTTGGTCCTCAGCACCCGCAAGCCCCGTCTGCCCCCCACAGACTACGTCTGGTAAATATGTACGTTGCGTTCCTAAGGCCAGGCCCTGCCAGCACACGCCCAGAATGTTTCATTGTCCACTGGGCGGTAGTAGCAGCCAGGGGCCTTCACGAGCCTGGTGCCTAAGATGTGTAACTCTCTTACGTCGGCCCCTCAGATTGGCTCCGGGCACCGAACAGTTCAGGAAACTCTGCGAGACCGAATCTTTTTTGCCTTTGAGCATTTCCTCGAGTATGTCCCCCACATTTTGGTAGTCTTAGGCGCGCTGCGTCTTCATTTTATACGTAGCGATACCTTCACTCGAATCGCTCTGTGAAGTAATTGCAATGCCCTTTCTCCTTTAGCGGGGGGCGAGATTTTTTTACTCAAAAAGTAAATTGAATGAGTGAGTAAACAAAAGTCAAACACTAAAAAAGTAAATGCACACAGAGCACCTAAAAACATAACGTCATGCAAAAATGTGCAAAAGTGAGGTGTTTTAAAAAATTATTTAGTGCCCTTGAAGCCGACGGATAGCCGACGACCGACTGTAGTTGAGTTTATAAAACGACTGGCACACAGACACACACACACGCTGGCGCTGTGTCTGCTGTTGCTGCTACTGTTGCTACTGTTACTGCTGATGCTGCAGCTACTGCTGCTGCTACTACGCTCACGATGAGCGTTATAAAGATCCCCGTGTGCCGGTATTCGCAAATGGCCGGGCCATCACCACCACCCCTTACCCCTTAACTACTTGCAGCAGATTCACGACGCAGTCGCGTGGTGAGCGGCGTGGTGAGCGGCGTGGTGAGCGGCGTGGTGAGCGGCGTGGTGAGCGGCGTGGTGAGCGGCGAGGTGAGCGGCGTGGTGAGCGGCGTGGTGAGCGGCGTGGTGAGCGGCGTGGTGAGCGGCGTGGTGAGCGGCGTGGTGAGCGGCGTGGTGAGCGGCGTGGTGAGCGGCGTGGTGAGCGGCGTGGTGAGCGGCGTGGTGAGCGGCGTGGTGAGCGGCGTGGTGAGCGGCGTGGTGAGCGGCGTGGTGAGCGGCGTGGTGAGCGGCGTGGTGAGCGGCGTGGTGAGCGGCGTGGTGAGCGGCGTGGTGAGCGGCGTGGTGAGCGGCGTGGTGAGCGGCGTGGTGAGCGGCGTGGTGAGCGGCGTGGTGAGCGGCGTGGTGAGCGGCGTGGTGAGCGGCGTGGTGAGCGGCGAGGTGAGCGGCGTGGTGAGCGGCGTGGTGAGCGGCGTGGTGAGCGGCGTGGTGAGCGGCGTGGTGAGCGGCGTGGTGAGCGGCGTGGTGAGCAGCGTGGTGAGCGGCGTGGTGAGCGGCGTGGTGAGCGGCTCACCCATGGGCCAGTGCTGGTAGACATGGGAAGCGATGTCGGAGGCGGAGTCCGTGGGGCTGCAGTGGAACTCCTTCGTCTTGCCACTCACGAGGATGAGGCGGAGATTGATCTGGAAGGGGATGCCAACGTCGTCAGCATCGCCATCGGCAACGTCGCCATCGGCAACGTCGTCATCGGCAAAGTCGGCATCGGCAAAGTCGGCATCGGCAACGTCATCGGCAAAGTCGGCATCATCAGCGTCGTCGTCTTCAGCATCGTCGTAATCAGCGTCATCATCAGCAGCGTCGTCATTGTCAACGTCATCATCGTTGTCATCGGCAACAACGTCAACATCAGTCTTGTCATCATCAGCGTCATCATCAACGTCATCATCATCATCATCTGTGTCATCATCATCGTCAGCGTCATCGGAAACATCGTCATCGTCGTCATCATCATCAGCGTCATCATCAGCATTATCAGTGGTATGAGCAGCAACAGCAAAATCGGCAACAGTGCACCATCAGCAACATCAGCAGCAACATCACCATCAGCAGCAATATCAACAAAAGAAAAATGACCACCAACTTTGGACCCATCATAATCCATCATCACCACCGCCTTCATTAATAACTAAACCATAATCATGAGCATCATCTGCCGTGAAATCAACCTCAACTGAACAACACCGCAATCGTCACAACGGCAAAATAGTTCAACCGATGTTTCATAATATGCAAGTTTGTGTTTTGATTTAAAGCTTTCGTGACTGCAGGGATTCATATTCTTGGTTCTTTCGGTAAAGTCACATATTATTGTTTTATATTTATATTATTTTATTATTTCCCTTCTATGTGACTTTACCGAAATAACCAAGAATAAGTCTACGTGTGTGTGTGGAAGCTCGTGAAGGTCGCTGCAACTGGACAGTTGGAGGCAGTCGCCCTCCGGCAACAACGGAGGGCGGAGGAGCAACGCTCACAATGAGCGGAGCGCTGGGCGGCTAAAACACAGCAAGTTGGCACAGCAGGGGGTACCAGCTGGTGTGCATCTACCAGTCCTCTGTCAGCCAACCCGTGCCATCTGCAGGGTCTGTCCTGTGACCTCCTGTCAGCGAGCCTTCGACACTTCTTCAAAGTGGACCTGGCCTGGCACAGGCAATGGTGGGTATTGGTATTGCTGTACGAGTATGTGTGTGTATATGTATGTGTGTGTTCAGTGTGTGTTCATTGTGTGTCCGGCAAAAACAACTCCCTACCTCCTCATTGGCGCCGGACGATAACGCTGTGGTGAGCAGTGCCCTGGGAGGAGGGTCAATTTCGATTGGCCATTCCCCTCATGGCGTTTGTAGCCACCACAGCAGCCAAATGGGGACTCTGGACGGGTACGTGGGCCTGGTAACCCCTCCAACATCAAATAAATTACCACTATACTTCCAAGAAAATATCAAAAGAAGCTTGTGCCGGAAGCCACGGGGGGACATGCGTCTATGTCGTCTCCTGGCCAAACCCAATTTGGCGGAGCCAGGAGACTGAATCTTTACCCTAGGGGTTCCTTCAGAAGCACCAAAAAGCCACTGCGGGTGGCCACGTGGAATATTTGAACGCTCACTTTGGAGAGGCTGCCACTCCTCTGTCGGGAGCTGGACCGGTACCGCCTGGATCTGTGGTATTCAGGTCTGGTGGACCGGCTCTGGCTCCTGTCATCATGAAGGGTGGACAGTCCTCTACTCGGGTCAGGAGACGGCCAAACAACAGGGAGTGGCTCTTCTTCTGGACAAAATAATGAAGGGGGAGAGGGAGCGTGGCGGTGAGGTGTGGGAAGCTGTAAGCCCCAGGCTACTTTGGGCTCGCCTTCCCATCAACCAGAGTCGAGGAGAGGTGGTCGTGGTTACTTATGCCCCCACCGAAGACAAACATCAGTGGATGAGTTCCAGGCAAGGTCGATGAGTCAAATGCCTTCTATGACCTCCTGTCACAGGCGCTAGCTAAAGTGGCCCATCGGGATAGTCATCATGTTGGGTGACTTTAATGCCCGAATGGGTCATGATGCTGGTACCTGGGCTGGAGTGATTCGAAGTCATGAGCCAGATTAGTTCAATAACGGTAGGAGGCTGCTAGACTTCTGTGCAGCCCATGGGCGTGTAATTACCAACAGGCTGTTCCGGCATCAGCACATCCACACAACATCATGGATGCACGCCGGGTCCAAGCAAGAACATCTGCTGGACTACATAGTGACGGAACAGCGGATGCGGGCCCAAGTCCTTGAGACCAGGACCTACCGAGAAGCTAATCTGCCCACTGACCATCGACTTGCCATCTGTAAGATGCACCTGCCATTCTTCCACTCCGGTGGTGGGTGGACATCCATGACCCCATTCAAACCCACAGATGGCCTGGCATCAGCTAGCTGATAAAAGTTGCAAGTGAGAATGCCATCATCGCTTGCGGCTGGGGTTGGCATCGTCCCCCCCTCCTGATGTCGAGGGGCAATGGGCAAAGTTTAGGACTGTGACTCATGCAGCTGACATGGCGGATTTGGGTACGCGGTCCAAACCTCCCCAGAGACCCTGGCTGACAGAGGAGGTGTTCCGGTTAGCTGATAAAAAGTGACAGCCAACTCCCACCGTCATCCCACAACAGAGAATGAGGAGGCTTACCGCAGCCTTCGCTCGGAGGTTGGAGAGCCATGAGGCGCTGCAAGGATAGTTGGTGGTTACGGGTTTCTGAGGAGATGGAGTCTGCCTCAGTAGCCTGCGATCACAAACCACTCTTTAACTCCATCAAATAACTAACTTGCAACGCCACACCTTTCACTATCATTAGGGGAAACAAAATTGATCCCATCTCCGACCTCCAGGATCAGGTTGCAGATTTGATGAGCATTTCTGTGAGGTCTTGGGGAAGGGGAAATCCATCAGCCTGGAAGACATCGTGGGACAAAGTGGGGATGACCCTGCTGAGGCTGCGGTGCCTGAAATAGTGGAGAAGTATTCACCCCCTGTGAGTGGCTGCCTGAGGTGCCATCTGTTGAGGAAGTATAGAAGGCGATCCAGAGTCTGAGACCAGGAAAAGCACCGGGCAGAGATTAAGTGAAATGCTGAGGGAGGGTGGCGTTTGTGCACAGACTGCCCTACATGACATCATAAAAAAACTGGAAAACTGGACGGGTTCCGCAGGATTGTAAAGATGCCCTGATGGTCCCCCTCTTTAAGACGGGGGATCGCGCAGACTGTAACAACTACAGGGGCATCTCACTCCTCAGTGAGCCAGGAAAGGTCCTGGCAAGGATTATTCAACATTGCCTTGCCAGGCACGCTGAGGAGAGGCTTGCGGAGCCCCAATGCGGTTCCAGCCTGGCACAAGTGCCGTGGTTTGCGTCATCGCCACTTAGTGGCGAATGGCGGTTGTTGTTATCAGTGTGAGTATCAGTGCTGTATCAGTGAGTGTGTATCAGTGTGAGTCTGTATCAGTGTGTATCAGTGTGTGTGCATCAGTGTGTGTGTGCGTCAGTGTGTGTGTGTATCAGTGTGTGTATCAATGTGTGTGAGTGAGGAGCGGTTGTGTCGCGCTGCGCTATGAACCCGGCGACTCGGATTCAATTCCCGCACATGGCCAACACCGGTGACGATTATCTGAACCGGTCCTGGGCTTCCCTAAGGTCGCCTCAGCCTCAAATGAGAATCTTGTGCGGTGTGTAAGCATCATAACTGGAGAGACAAAGGCGGTCGGGCGTGGTGCTGGCCACTCACCCCGTGTACCGTTCCAGCCTTCATAGGTGCTCGCTAACAGCACTTGCCCCCACGTTCCTTTAAGGCTATACGGGAGATCTTTGTGTGGCCGTGGAGGAGTGTATTTATAGCCCAGGAAAACCCTTTGACGCAGCGCTCGCAAGGCGCAACAAACGGCGGAGTGCACTCCGGCGTATATTCCTGTCTGTGCGGCAACCGTAAATAGTCACACGCACAGAGCACACACAGAGTACACACACACAGAGTACACACACACAGAGTACACACAGTACACACACACAGTACACACACAGTACACACACACAGTACACACACACAGTACACACACAGTACACACACACAGTACACACAGAGCACACACACAGTACACACACACAGTACACACAGAGCACACACACAGTACACACACACAGTACACACACACACAGTACACACACGATCTCCCGTGTAGCCTTAACAGACTGTAGGGGCAAGTGCTGTTAGCGAGTAGCAGCACCTATGAAGGCCGGCACTGTGGCACACGAGGGTGGGTGGCCAGCACCGCGCCCGCCCGTCTTTGTATCCCCAGGTACTAATTTAAGACTGAGTCAACTTAGGGGGAGGGTGGGGGGGGGGCAGAACCAGTTCAGATAATCGCCACCGGCGTCGGTGGGAGTCGAACCCGCAGCGTGTGCTAACCATTGCTACACCGCTCCCCCCACAGTCTTAAGAGACAAGGATACCCCCCCCCCCTCGCGAACCACCCCCACCCCAGTAGCTCCCTACCCCTCAACGGCGGCGCCCGTGCCAGGCTAGGTGCAGGTCTCAGGACAGACCCAGCCGGTGCCATGGGTTGACTGCGGTGCCAGGCTAGGTGCAGGAGATCACGGGACAGACCCTGCAGGTGTGTGGGTTGACTGTTGTGCCAGGCTAGGTGCAGGAGGTCACGGGACAGACCCAGCAGGTGCCATGGGTTGACTGCTGTGCCAGGCTAGGTGCAGGAGGAGGTCACGGGACAGACCCAGCAGGTGCCATGGGTTGACTGCTGTGCCAGGCTAGGTGCAGGAGGAGGTCACGGGACAGACCCAGCAGGTGCCATGGGTTGACTGCTGTGCCAGGCTAGGTGCAGGAGGAGGTCACGGGACAGACCCAGCAGGTGCCATGGGTTGACTGCTGTGTCAGGCTAGGTGCAGGAGGAGGTCACGGGACAGACCCAGCAGGTGCCATGGGTTGACTGCTGTGCCAGGCTAGGTGCAGGTCACGGGACAGACCCTGCAGGTGTGTGGGTTGACTGCTGTGCCAGGCTAGGTGCAGGAGGAGATCACGGGACAGACCCTGCAGGTGCTGTGGGTTGACTGCTGTGCCAGGCTAGGTGCAGGAGGAGGTCACGGGACAGACCCAGCAGGTGCCATGGGTTGACTGCTGTGTCAGGCTAGGTGCAGGAGGAGGTCACGGGACAGACCCTGCAGGTGTGTGGGTTGACTGCTGTGCCAGGCTAGGTGCAGGAGGAGATCACGGGACAGACCCTGCAGGTGTGTGGGTTGACTGCTGTGCCAGGCTAGGTGCAGGAGGAGATCACGGGACAGACCCTGCAGGTGCTGTGGGTTGACTGCTTTGCCAGGCTAGGTGCAGGAGGTCACAGGACAGACCCAGCAGGTGCCATGGGTTGACTGCTGTACCAGGCTAGGTGCAGAAGGAGGTCACGGGACAGACCCAGCAGGTGCCATGAGTTGACTGCTGTGCCAGGGTAGGTGCAGGAGGAGGTCACGGGACAGACCCAGCAGGTGTGTGGGTTGACTGCTGTGCCAGGCTAGGTGCAGAAGGTCACGGGAGACCCAGAAGGTGCCGTGGCTTGACTGCTGCGCCAGGCTAGGTGCAGGAGGAGGTCACGGGACAGACCCAGCAGGTGCTGTGGGTTGACCGACTAAAATGAGTGGCCCAGATTCACCAGCTGTGCCCCCTACTGTGCCAACTCGCTGCGTTTTAGCCGCCCGGCACCACTCGTTGTTGCTGGAGGGCGACTGTCTCCAACTGCCCAGTAGCAGCATCCTTCAGGAGCCTCCTCCACAGAGGCCGATCTTGACACCGCTGGTACCAGTCATCGGCAAGTCCACTCAGCTCCACATCCTCCTGTACAGCATCAGCTCCATCTCTTCTACAGCCCGTGCCACTCACCCACTCAGCCACCCTCTATGCGAGTCTATGGGTCTCTATGCGAGTCTATAGGTCTCAATGCAAGTCTATGGGTCTCTATGCGAGTCTATGGGTCTCTATGCGAGTCTATGGGTCTCTGTGTGAGTCTATGGGTCTCTGTGTGAGTATATAGATCTCTATGCGAGTCTATGGGTCTCCGTGTGAGTCTATGGCTCTCGGTTCGAGTCTATGGGTCTCACTAAGTCTATGGGTCTCTGTGCGAGTCTATGGGTCTCTGTGTGGGTCTGTGGGTCTCCGTGCGAGTCTGTGCGTCTCTGTGCGAGTGTGGGTCTCTGTGCGAGTCTGTGGGTCTCTGTGCGAGTCTGTGGGTCTCTGCGCGAGTCTGTGGGTCTCTGCGCGAGTCTGTGGGTCTCTGCGCGAGTCTGTGGGTCTCTGCGCGAGTCTGTGGGTCTCTGCGCGAGTCTATGGGTCTCTGTGCGAGTCTGTGGGTCTCTACGCGAGTCTGTGGGTCTCTGTGCGAGTCTGTGGGTCTCTGCGCGAGTCTATGGGTCTCTGTGCGAGTCTGTGGGTCTCTGCGCGAGTCTATGGGTCTCTGTGCGAGTCTGTGGGTCTCTACGCGAGTCTGTGGGTCTCTGCGCGAGTCTGTGGGTCTCTGCGCGAGTCTATGGGTCTCTGTGCGAGTCTGTGGGTCTCTACGCGAGTCTGTGGGTCTCTGTGCGAGTCTGTGGGTCTACCTGCGAGTCTGTGGGTCTACGTGCGAGTCTGTGGGTCTCTACGCGAGTCTGCGGGCTGTGTCCGCTCTCATAAAGAAGGTGGTCATGGTGGTAATCCGGGGTTTGTTTTCATCAATCGTCACGGCGCCTGCTGGGCCCAGGCCACTCACCCGGCCACTCACCCGGCAAATCGCCACGGCAGCCAATCACCCAAACCCAACCGACGGTAGCCGTCAATGAGAACTCTCTCCCTCACCACGGTCTCACCCTCACCACGGCCTCTCCCTCACCTTATCGGCAGGGACAGCTGACGAAGACATCTTAAGCCGCCTCGAGCCGCAGGCTTCTCCCCTCTCACTCGTATCCAGTCGCACCGTCGAGTCCACCGCTCCCACGGATAGTTGAGTAACACAAACAACCAACCACCTAACTAGCACACAGCGCACCCCGCCTACACAACGACACCCAATCCGCCGGGCGATCAAAAACAATTATAACTGCCGCGGCCTAGCGCGAAGCCTACGGCCTTGCCTAGTTTCGCTACCCGGCCCTAACCGGGTCCGGCCGGGTCACCCCCCACCCCCGCTCGGGCTTAGGCCCCCGAGCGGGCGCGCTCAGCCGCTCGCTAACGGCTATGGTGGTGGTTGTTGTTGGTTGTTGTTGTTGTTGATGGTTGAACAACTCCACGGGTAAGCGGCTCCTGAACTGACGGAGAGGGCGACACGGCGATAGGAGTCGTCGTGGTCGCTGCTGCCGCTGTCACGGCGGCAGTCACGGGCGGCAGTCACGGCCACCAGGGCAGCAGTCACGGGCAGCAGTCACGGCGATCACAGCGGCAGTCACGGGCGGCAGTCACAGCGACCACAGCGACGGCAGCGGCAGCAGCCGCGGCTTCTCATCCCTCAGGGCCCCGAGCGGCAACTGCGCCGCCATCTTCGCCTCAACAGCAGCGGCGGAAGCTGCGGGATGAGGGGGGAGGGCGTGGGGGGCGGGGCGGGCTCGCGACGTCACGCGCGACGTCACGGGGGCCCCGCCTCTCGCGCTCGATCGCTCGCCCGCGCGGGGAGATTCAAAGGGTCGCGTGGCGCGGTGACGGTGGTGGTAGCGATGGCGATGGTGGCGGTGGTGGTGGCGATGGCGATGGTGGCGGTGGTGGTGGCGATGGCGATGGTGGCAGTGGTGGTGGCGATGGCGATGGTGGCGATGGTGGCGGCGATGGTGGCGGTGGTGGTGGTAGCGATGGCGATGGTGGCGGCGATGGTGGCGGTGGTGGTAGCGATGGTGGCGCTGATAGCGATGGTGGCGCTGATAGCGATGGTGGCGATGGTGGCGATGGTGGCGGTGGAGCTGGCGGCAGAGCTGGCGGTGGCGCTGGTGGTGGCGCTAGCAATGGCCGCGGTGCTGGCGGCGTGGGCGATGCTGGCAGCGGTGGAGGTGCTAGTTGGCGCTCGTAGTGCTGCTATTGGTGGTGCTGGTGCTGCTGGTGGTGCTGCTGGTGGTGCTGGTAGTGGTGCTGGTAGTGGTGCTGGTGGTGGTGCCGGTGCTGGTAGTGGTGCTGGTGGTGGTGCCGGTAGTGCTAGTGGTGGTGGTGCTGGTAATTGCTGCTCACTCAGAGGAGGAGTTGGAGGCGCTGCTGCTGAACCTGGAGCTTGCCACCAAGAGGTGGGGCCTTACCATCAGCCCCACCAAAACGAAGCACCTGCCTGGGTATTCTGTACCATCGGACACTCCACCCCCACAACTCCAAATTGGTGATAGGGCAGTTGTGGAGAGAGTGGAGAGTTTCGCATACCTGAGCAGTGTGCTCATGACCGGCTCCGGTTTGACAGTAGAGGTCTCACTCCAGTAGGAGGCAAAGGTATTACATCAGCCAGTCATCCCAGTCAACCCATGGCACCTGGGTCTGTTCTGTGACCTCCTGCCAGCGGGTGTTCAACACTTCACGTGGCCTTCACGTGCATAGCCTGGCACAAGCGCCGTGGTAACGTCACAGCAACTGAAGTGGCGAATGGCGGTGCTCGCGGTGGTGGTGGTTGTGTCGCCACGGCAATGGACAATACAACATTACGGATAACCCACAAATATCCATTTTGCAATGAAGCACAACTGACAATTTCGATTACTCTTTCGATTTAAAACGAATAATTGACGACGAACTGATCGATCGATGCGTGTGCTCAGTGATGACACTTTCCTGTCTCCTGCCCAGCAGAAAAGTCGGCCCACTGAGTGGATGATAACAGGGCCACAGCCAATCAGCATCAATCAAACTCAGTCCTACTGAGTGGATGATGACAGAGCCGCAGCCAATCAGCATCAATCACACTCAGTCCTACTGAGTGGATGATGACAGAGCCGCAGCCAATCAGCATCAATCACACTCAGCCCACTGAGTGGATATATATGGCAACTACTGTGGTGTAGGGGCGATCACGTGGATGTCGGATTAACCGGAGCAACAGATTTGTTCAGTTGAAGCACGGTGCAACTTGTAATAAACATTTACAGGAATAGTAATGTTTTTAACTGCTTTTAAGATCATTAATGTGTTCTTAAGGGAAAATCAGTCGTTAATTTACGTCAAAATCTCAGGTTAATCAGCGAATCGGATAAACCGCACGCTCAGATAATCGCGAGCCTCATGTCATTATGTACACTGGAGGAATCCGATGAGCTATAAAGCTCTTTCGCAGATGTCCAGGTGACCTTTCGGTCCACAACCTTTCTCTTTAATAGTTCAGCAAACTTAATTCTATTGTTACCAGGCCAGTTTCCACAGCTCTGTCTCAGAAGCAACCTGGACAGATGTTGACTACCTTGCCTGGTACACAGGAGGTCGTGGGTTCCATCCCGACCCTGACGATGCCTGCTGCTGCTGCTCTATATTTGGAGTCCGTGTCTCTCTACAGTTTAGAAACACGCATTTATCGAGTGTTTGGCTGCTGCTTTAAATGCCCACGTGATGAAATGAGCCACTTCGTTGAGCTATCGTTTGTGATGGCCACGTAAAATAAAAAGTTGTTCTCCCTGCCAGGGTATAACGATTTGATGCCCCATGGGGAGTTAGATGGAACAGATGGAGATTAGTCCACCCACGGGTAGAAGGGAGTGAGATGGAACAGATGGAGATTAGTCCACCCACGGGTAGAAGGGAGTGAGATGGAACAGATGGAGATTAGTCCACACACGATGTAGAAGGGAGTGAGATGGAACAGATGGGGATTAGTCCACACACGATGTAGAAGGGAGGGAGATGGAACAGATGGGGATTAGTCCACCGACGGGTAGAAGGGAGTGAGATGGAACAGATGGAGATTAGTCCACCCACGGGTAGAAGGGAGTGAGATGGAACAGATAGAGATTAGTCCACACACGGTGTAGAAGGGAGTGAGATGGAACAGATGGAGATTAGTCCACACACGGTGTAGAAGGGAGTGAGATGGAACAGATGGAGATTCGTCCACACACGGGTAGAAGGGAGTGAGATGAAACAGATGGAGATTAGTCCACACACGGTGTAGAAGGGAGTGAGATGGAACAGATGGAGATTAGTCCACACACGGGTAGAAGGGAGTGAGATGGAACAGATGGAGATTAGTCCACACACGGTGTAGAAGGGAGTGAGATGGAACAGATGGAGATTAGTCCACACACGGGTAGAAGGGAGCGAGATGGAACAGATGGAGATTAGTCCACACACGGGGTAGAAGGGAGCGAGATGGAACAGATGGAGATTAGTCCACACACGGGGTAGAAGGGAGCGAGATGGAACAGATGGAGATTAGTCCACACACTGCTACTGTGTTTGATCCACCAACCCTCGCTGCTGCCTCCAAAGCAGCCCTGGACAGTAGCAGCGCAGACGCCACCGCCACCACCACCGCCATCGCCACCGCCACCACCTTCATCACCATCACCGCCACCTTAGCCACCACTGTGGTCACCACCTTGGTCACCACCGCTGTCACCACCACCTTCATCATCACCACCACCACCGTCGCCACCGCCACCTTCATCACCACCACCGTCACCATCCCAACCACCATTGCCGCCGCCATCATCATCGCAACCACCGCCACCCATGTGAAGAAACGGGACTTGGGGGGAGACTCGGTTGAATGTTTTAAAACTTTAATATTTTTTTTGTTCTTTCAAATTTTCGTTTCTAAAATGTTTGTAACTTTTTTTTCCGTCATTTTCCATTTTTTTTTTAAACAAAAAAAAACTTTCACCGGCCGTATCGCAACGCACGAGCGCCTTCCACCAATGCCCTGGCGGTGGCGGTGGGGGGGCTCCTTGCCAGCCGTGGCGGCCCCGGCAGCAGCAGTAGTAAGACTCAAAACAAACGCGTTGCCCTTTTTTTAATGAAACATTCTGGGGATATTTTTTTTCCTCCCCTTTCCCACGCGAACACGTCAAGGGGCTGGGGGGGGGGGGCAAGCGAGGGGTGGTGGCGGGTGCAAGGTAATTTAATTCACCGGGTGGGTTGGCGGGCGGGTGGGCAGGTGGATGGGCGTGCGAGTGGGTGAGTTGGCAGGCGGATGGGTGGTTGGGTGGACGTTTCGTTGAGGTCAGATCACCGTGTAGGCGTAATGTCAGATTATGATTACTCTTATTATTATTATCACGGCATCATCACTACTGACACACGATCTAACACCCCCCTCCCCCCCAATAAAAGAAACTGGGAATGGAGTCGGAACATTTCGGCCTCCGGTCCCTGTGGGGGCGGCAAAGACGCCGACAACGCAGCAACAAGAAGAAGACGACAACTGACAACGGCAGCTCTCCCCCCGATCTCTCTCCCGATGTCTCTCCCCCTCCCGCTCTCTCCCTGCCTTCTCGTGGGCACTTGCGCACAAACGGCACGACCACCACGACCACCGCGACCGCCGCCACCACCGCCTCTTGAGCTGTTGAATTGCGACGAAAGAATAGAAACCGGCTCCACCCGGCCGCGTGCGTGGCCGTGAATCGCCCGTGGCACCCACATTCACCGCGGTCGTGACGACGACGACCAACACGGGGCATCTCCCCGCGTCGCTCCTCGACGCGTCGCTCCTCGTCGTGTGCATCGTTTGTTGAACCCACCACCCCCTCCGCCCACCTGAAATCCTCACACATTCGTGTTGCCGTCGAGGAATGGGGTCGAGGCCTCCCTCGCCGTCTGGGCGATGAGCGGAGAGCCGGCGGGCAGCGTCAGCGCGGCGCAGGGAGAGGGAGACGGGGACGAGGGAGAGACGGGGACGAGGGAAACCCCAAAATATCTCAAACCCTTTCCCGTGACGTCGGCAAGTCACCACCGAATCTCGGAAACGCGCGAGAGAGAGCGAGAGAGCGAGAAATAGCCTCGGCGTTCGATTTGGAGAGGAAGAGACGCAGCAGCAGCAGCTACAGCAGCTGCAGTAGCAGCAGCTGCAGCAGCAGCTACAGCAGCAGCAGCTACAGCAGCAGCTGCAGCAGCTGCAGCAGCTGCAGCAGCTGCAGCAGCTACAGCAGCTGCAGCAGCTACAGCAGCAGCAGCTACAGCAGCAGCAGCTACAGCAGCAGCAGCTACAGCAGCAGCAGCAGCTACAGCGGCAGCAGCTACAGCAGCAGCTACAGCAGCAGCTACAGCAGCAGCAGCTACAGCAGCAGCAGCAGCGCCGTTGCTTTGAAAGACGTCGCCGCTCACCCTCAGACAACCATAGCCACCGCCGGGGGGGGAGCCTCGGTTCTGCCGGAGTTAAATCATTTGACATTTTCTTCCGTTTCTGTACGCGCGTCATCGGGAACTGGTTAAGTCACACCGGCCGCTAGCTTTCCCGTGACGTGGCGCGCAATGACAGCTTTGTGCGCCCGAGAGAGGGAACGCACCCGAGAGAGGGAACGCACCCGAGAGAGGGAACGCACGCGCGGAAGAGGACACCGCAGAGCTACCTCCAAGACGACGTTCAACCAGAACCCCTCGGCAGTGGCCGCCGCTCGCGCCAAAAAGCCGCCGCTCGCTCCGACAATTCTCGTGGGGCCAATTCGTCTCACTCGGATGTTACCGCCGCCGCTGCTGTTGTTGCTACCCGCTGCTGCTGCTGCTGCAGGTAGGTAGCAGCAGTGCACCGCGAGCTGACGAATCCAGACGCCTCCCTGCCGATTCCATTCAATCTCCCGGCGCGGCAGTTGCTTTGAAAAATAAAACGTCAGGCGCAAGATCCCGACGTCCCACCCCCACCGCCGCCTCCGTCCGTCCAAGAGGTCCCGGGAATGGGGCTACGGTGGTCGAGCCGACAGGTCTGGTAGGGGTGGTGGCGGCGGTACAGGAGGAGGCCGACCTCGGCGGTGGCGCTAGCGGTGGCGCTAGCGGTGGCGCTAGCGGGCGGTCCGGGGTGCGTGGTGGTGGTGGCCGTCGTCGTATCAAAGTCAGTGTAAATCTGAGGCAAGGGGAGAGGGGTAAGGCACGCCCAGAAGTCAGATAAATAACATTACCTCGGACTTTTTATTATTCGTTACTTGTAGCGAGTTAACGCCACCCCCCCCCCACCACTGCGGTGGCCTCGGAGGGAAGGAAAACAAAACTATCACGGCGACAAGATCCGAGGTGAACGGTGGGGCCCCACTCCCGCGGAAATAGACAGCGGGGAGCTACATCTGAGAGGATTCCCTCCCCGTCGTTCTGCCCGTTCCTACTCCCCCCCACCGCCCGCTCCGCCAGAGAGCGTCGGGCGGCAACTTCTCCACCCGCCGGCTCTCTGCCGCCCACGCCGAGAGCGGCGCCGATTCGCGTGACGCTCCACAAGGCAGACTTTTTTCATGATTAAAGATCGTCGGGAGTTGGGATCAAGGCGAAGTTGAGTGCACAAACGAAAGTAAAAGAAACAAGTGCGAGTCTATGGGTCTCTGTGCGAGTCTGTGGGTCTCTGTGCGAGTCTGTGGGTCTCTGTGCGAGTCTGTGGGTCTCTGTGCGAGTCTGTGGGTCTCTGTGCGAGTCTGTGGGTCTTTGTGCGAGTCTGTGGGTCTCTGTGCGAGTCTGTGGGTCTCTGTGCGAGTCTGTGGGTCTCTGTGCGAGTCTGTGGGTCTCTGTGCGAGTCTGTGGGTCTCTGTGCGAGTCTGTGGGTCTCTGTGCGAGTCTGTGGGTCTCTGTGCGAGTCTGTGGGTCTCTGTGGGTCTCTGTGCGAGTCTGTGGGTCTCTGTGCGAGTCTGTGGGTCTCTGTGCGAGTCTGTGGGTCTCTGTGCGAGTCTGTGGGTCTCTGTGCGAGTCTGTGGGTCTCTGTGCGAGTCTGTGGGTCTCTGTGCGAGTCTGTGGGTCTCTGTGCGAGTCTATAGGTCTCAGTGTGAGTCTATGAGTCTGTGGGTCTTTGTGCGAGTCTATGGGTCTCCGTGTGAGTCTATGGGTCTCCGCGTGAGTCTGTGGGACTCCGTGTGAGTCTGTGGGTCTTTGTGCGAATCTATGGGTCTCTGTGCGAGTCTATGGGTCTCTGTGCGAGTCTATGGGTCTCTGTGTGAGTCTATGGGTCTCTGTGTGAGTCTATGGGTCTCTGTGTGAGTCTATGGGTCTCTGTGTGAGTCTATGGGTCTCTGTGCAAGTCTATGGGTCTCTGTGCAAGTGTATGGGTCTCTGTGCGAGTCTATGGGTCTCTGTGTGAGTCTATGGGTCTCTGTGTGAGTCTGTGGGTCTCTGTGTGAGTCTATGGGTCTGTGTGAGTCTATGGGTCTCCGTGTAAGTCTATGGGTCTCTGTGTGAGTCTGTGTCTCTGAGTCTATGGGTCTCTGTGCAAGTCTACGAGTCCTCCTGCTACTACTGCTCTGCACCAGACGCACCACGTCCGTCAGCAACAACGCCGCGTGTGTTGCGTGGACCACGTCACCCGTTACATACCGTATAGGAGCATGCGTGTCTGTGTGCGTCTCTCTCTCTCTGCGTTCGGCTGTGTGTTTCTGTCTGTGTGTCTCTGTTTCTGTCTGTGTGTCTGTGTGTGTATATGTGTCTGCGTGTGTCTTTGTGTGTATGTGTCTGCGTGTCTTTGACTATGCGTGTGTCTCTGTCTTTGTATCTCTGCGTGTGTCTCTCTGCATGTGTGCGCCTTCATATCTTGGTGTGTCTGCATAACAGTGCCGTGTGACAAGACTGCAGGCGTGCATTTGAGGGCCTCCCCATGCGCTCCGCAGGTCGTGGTTGGTGGTGGGTGCTGGTGCGTAGCCTCGACTGTCCTTCACCCGTCACGGGGTGTCATCACTGTGCGCTTAAAGTGGCGGCGGAGCAGCGGATGGGAGCCAGGGCACCCTTGGGCGGGGGGGGGGAGCTTAGGAGTACAGCACAACATCGGATTACGCCGCACTCACTCTCCGCTGCACGTCGCACGCTCCGTTTCCCCTCCAGCAACCACCGCTTGCCCACCCACCCGCCCACTCAGCCACCCGCCCGCCCACTCACTCAGCCGCCCGCCCACTCACTCACCCACTCAGCCTCCCGCCCACTCACCCACCCACTCAGCCTCCCACTCACCCACCCACTCAGCCTCCCGCCCACCCGCCCACTCAGCCGCCCGCCCACCCGCCCACTCAGCCGCCCACTCAGCCGCCCACCCACCCGCCCACTCAGCCGCCCGCCTGCCCACCCACCCCCTATCCCCTGGGCATGACTCAACCCCCAGCCAGACTCAAAGGCTGCGAAAGTTCCAACGCTGGAGAAAGTTCGCAAGGTGCCAGCGCCGTACGCGGTGCCGAGCTGTGCGGAGCTGTGCTGGGCGGTGCCGGCCAAGGAGAGAGAGACACACACGGAGAGTGCGGGGAGGGAGTAGAGAGAGTAGAGAGAGTTGAGGCCGTGACGTTCAATGCAAGGCTGAGAGAGAGCGAGAGTGGAGAGAGTGGGGAGAGTAGAGAGAGTGGGGAGAGAGAGTGGGGAGAGTAGAGAGAGTGGGGAGGGAGAGTGAGGAGAGAGTGGGGAGAGAGAGTGGGGAGAGAGAGTGGGGAGAGAGAGTGGGGAGAGAGAGTGGGGAGAGAGAGTGGGGAGAGAGAGTGGGGAGAGAGAGTGGGGAGAGAGAGTGGGGAGAGAGAGTGGGGAGAGAGAGTGGGGAGAGAGAGTGCAGCGAGGGGAGAGAGAGTGGGGAGAGAGAGTGGGGAGAGAGAGTGGGGAGAGAGAGTGCAGCGAGGGGAGAGAGAGTGGGGAGAGAGAGTGGGGAGAGAGAGTGGGGAGAGAGAGTGGGGAGAGAGAGTGGGGAGAGAGAGTGGGGAGAGAGAGTGCAGCGAGGGGAGAGAGAGTGGGGAGAGAGAGTGGGGAGAGAGAGTGGGGAGAGGGAGCGCGGCAGGGCACCACTTGGCTTGACTTCGCCTTTCCCCGATAACAAAAAGTAAAAACAACCTCGACCCTGCCTCCTCCTACCACCACCACCTCCTCCTACCACCAACACCACCACCTCCTACCACCACCACCACCTCCTCCTCCTCCTACCACCACCACCTCCTCCTCCTCCTACCACCACCTCCACCTCCTCCTACCACCACCTCCACCACCTCCTCCTCCTACCACCACCACCTCCTCCTCCTACCACCACCACCTCCTCCTCGGTCATCCGCGCACCACCGAGTCGCAATGTAGACGTCAAAACAAACCAAAGCGCTGAACAAAAAAGGAAAGTAAAAAGATGCACAACAGAACGGACGCCGCTACGCACCGCTCACCAACACCGCCACCGCTCACCGCCACCGCTCACCGCCACGGCGCCCGATCGCCGGCGGCGCGGTACAAATGCCAGTGCTTGTTATTCGCCGCGAGGGGAACGACGGACAACCTTCAAAACGTTTCCTCGTTTAGGATTAATAAGAATGAACAAACGGAGGGGAGGGGGGGGGGTGAAACACGAAAGGAGGGCGCACAAGTCAGAAGGAAGTCGCTCCGGAGGAGAGGGGGGCTTCAGAATAGCTTCGGAACTCATCTGATTTCTTCGGGATAAATAAAGATTCTGAAATGTAACCAATCAATGGACGGCAAGGGCAGAGGGAGAGAGAGTAAAGAGAAAGTATAGAGGAGAAAGAGGGAGGAGAGAGATTAGAGAGGGAGGAGAGAGAGGGGAGAGAGATGAGAGGGAGGAGGGAGGGAGGAGAGAGAGATGAGAGAGAGAGATGAGAGGGAGGAGGGAGGGAGGAGAGAGATGAGAGAGAGATGAGAGAGTGGGAGGAGAGAGATGAGAGAGTGGGAGGAGAGAGATGAGATGAGAGAGGGGGAGAGAGATGAGAGACAGAGGGAGAGAGATGAGAGAGTGGGAGGAGAGATGAGAGACAGAGGGGAGAGAGACGGGTGCGGTGGGGGAGGAGCAAGGCATGGGTCACGCGTGAAAATGTACAGAGCTCGCGACGCTTATAAATATATACTGGGCGTGCGTGCGATCTCGCGTGCGATCTCGTGAGTGATCTCGTGTGATCTTGTGTGTGATCGTGAGTGATCTCATGTGTGATCGTGAGTGATCTCGTGTGCAATCTCGTGCGTGATCTTGTGTGATCTCGTGTGTGATCGTGCCTGATCTTGCGTGATCTTGTGTGACCTTGTGTGATCTCGTGTGCAATCTTGTGCGTGATCTCGTGTGTGATCGTGCGTGATCTTGTGTGATCTCGTGTGCAATCTTGTGCGTGATCGTGGGAGAGCAACGAAGAACGATGCGACGCGCTGGAGCACGGGCGGGCAGAAGACGCACGGAGACGGGAGGGAGACGTCTACACAACCAGCCAGGGACCCCTAGACAAGCTGCCAGGGACCCCTAGACAACCAGCCAGGGACTCCTAGACAAGCAGCCAGGGACCCCTAGACAACCAGCCAGGGACTCCTAGACAAGCAGCCAGGGACCCCTAAACAACCAGCCAGGGACCCCTAGACAACCAGCCAGGGACTCCTAGACAAGCAGCCAGGGACTCCTAGACAACCAGCCAGGGACCCCTAGACAAGCAGCCAGGGACCCCTAGACAAGCAGCCAGGGACCCCTAGACAACCAGCCAGGGACCCCTAGACAAGCAGCCAGGGACCCCTAGACAACCAGCCAGGGACCCCTAGACAACCAGCCAGGGACCCCTAGACAACCAGCCAGGGACCCCTAGACAAGCAGCCAGGGACCCCTAGACAACCAGCCAGGGACCCCTAGACAAGCAGCCAGGGACCCCTAGACAACCAACCAGGGACCCCTAGACAAGCCAGCCAGGGAGCCCGACCCGAGCCAGTCAGAGAGCATTGTAGGGTTTTTCCACTGCACAAGCCGATCCCAGCCGAGGCGACTCCGCGGTGACTCCGTGCCCTCACCGCGTGGCGACCAACGACGTCTCGCGACACCGATGCCGGATTGGCCCCATCCCCCCCACCACCCCCTTGCCGCCGGCTCGGCGGTTACTACGGGAGGGTTGAACAGAACGAAACGGAGAGAGTGGCACGCGCACAGAGACAGAGAGGGGTGGGGGTGGGGCGACCGTCCCCGTGGCACCTCAGCTCACGAGCGAGTTGAGGAAGCGCGACATGGTCAGGTTCGTCTTGAGAGTGAACTTCATGGCCGACGTCGACGCAGCCGCCGCCGCCGGGGGCACCGTTTGCGACGGTGCCGTCCCCGGCGGCTGTCCGGCCTCCGCCCGCCGCCGGGATTTGACTCCCCCCCCTCCCTCGCCAACGTCAACAACAACAACGCCGGCGGCGGCGTCAGCGTCGGCGTCGCCGGCGGCGGCGGCGGTGGCTGGCGCCGGCCTCTTCCTCAGCACGCGCCCGTCGGCGAGCGGTGCCGGCCTCCTCGTCCTCCTCCTCTCCCCGTCGCCGTTCTCCGCTCGCTCCTCCAACTCCTCCTCCTCCTGCTCCTCCTGCTCCTCCTCCTGCTCCTCTTCGCCGTCGTCGTCCTCGTCTCCGGGAAGCTCGCTGGCGGCACCGGCAGAAGCCACCGGGCGGCACGGAGAGCGGGGAGGGGGGGCGGCACCGGCACCGCCGCGCACCCTCCGCTCGTCCACGCGGCTCACGCGCACGCACGGCACGGCGGTGGCGCCCCCCGGCAGCGCCAGCTTCACCATCGAGCCGTTGCAGCGACGGGCAATGCCGCCGTCACCACCGCCTCCACCGCCTCCCAGCTGCTGCTGCTGCTGCTGCTGATGCTGCTGCTGATGCTGCTGATGCTGCTGCTGATGCGGTGTGGGGGGGCGCCGCCCGTTGACGGTGTCGGGGCGACGGGGAGTGTCGGGGTGGGCGCCGGCGTGTTCAGACGCCGACGCCAACAAGGACGAGGAAGACGAAGAGGCGGGGGCGGCCGGCGCGGTCGATGATCGCTGGACGCACGCGCTGCTTGCGCTGCTTGCGCTGCTTGCGCTGCTTGCGGCGGCGCTGCTCGGGCTGGCGCCTGTGGTTCGGGGTGGTGGGAGAGATGGGAGAGTGGTGAGAGAGTGGTGAGAGTGGTGAGGGAGTAATGAGAGTGGTGACGGAGTGGTGAGAGAGTGGTGAGAGAGTGGTGAGAGAGTGGTGAGAGTGGTGAGGGAGTAGTGAGAGTGGTGAGGGAGTGGTGAGAGAGTGGTGAGGGAGTGGTGAGAGTGGTGAGAGAGTGGTGAGAGTGGTGAGAGTGGTGAGAGTGGTGAGGGAGTGGTGAGAGTGGTGACGGAGTGGTGAGAGAGTGGTGAGGGAGTGGTGAGAGTGGCGAGAGTGGTGAGAGAGTGGTGAGAGAGTGGTGAGAGTGTGGTGAGGGAGTGGCGGGCGAGTGGCGGGGGAGGTGAAGAGGTGTGGAAGAGGGAGTGGTTCGGGGTGGTGAGAGTGGTGAGGGAGTGGTGAGAGAGTGGTGAGGGAGTGGTGAGAGTGTGGTGAGGGAGTGGTGGGAGAGTGGTGGGGGAGTGGTGAGAGAGTGGTGAGAGAGTGGTGAGAGAGGGAGGTGTGGGGGAGGGTAACCATGAGGCTGAATCATCTCAGCAGCGCCTGTGCCCCAGAGACACCCAGACCCCCCCCAGGGCATTGAACCCAGGCTCCTTGGCAGGAGGACGGTGGTGGCGGTGGTGGCGGTGGTGGCGGCTCTGACCTGTGACCCCAATGCTGGAGCCCTGCCCCCCAGGGGTGGGAGCAGGGCGGCTCCTTGTCCCCATACAAGACAAAGGTCCCCCGTGTAGCCTCAACAGACCGTTGGGGAAAGTGCCGATAGCGAGTAGCCACCGATGAAGGCCGGCACGGCACACGAGGGGGGGGGGGTGGGTGGCCAGCAACCACGCTCGGCCGCCTTTGTCTCCCCAGTGGCGATGTTTACACGCCGCACCAGGTACTTATTTGAGGCTGAATCGACCTACGGGAGGCCCAGGACCAGTTCAGATAATCGTCACTGTTGTTGGCCGTGAGGGGGAATCGAACTCGGGTCTCTGCTGGGTTCGTAGCGCAGCGCTAACTGGTGCAGCACAGACACACACACATCGACACACACACAGACACACAAACACACACCGACACACACACACACCGACACAGACACACAAACACACCGACACACACACAGACACAAACACACACCGACACACACACAGACACACACACAGACACACAGACACACACAGACACACACAAACACACAGACACACACCGACACACACACACAGACACACACAAACACACACACAGACACACACAGACACACACACCGACACACAGACACACACACCGACACACAGACACACACAAACACACACCGACACACACACACACAAACACACACCGACACACAGACACAAAAACACACACCGACACGCACACTGACACACACACCGATCCACATACAACAACAACAACCGCCATTCGCCACTAAGAGGCGGTGACGTCACCACGACGCTTGTGCCAGGCCATGTGCACCTTGAGGCCACGTGAAGTGTCGAACGCCCGCTGGCGTGTTGGCCGTGAGCGGGAATCGAACCCGGGTCGCCGTGCTGTGCGCCGCGATTGGCTGGGAGATCTGAACTACGTCACCTGGTATGCAGGAGGTCGTGGGGTCAGCCCCGGCCCTGACACCTGTTGTAGATTTGGAGTTTGGGTTTGCGTGGGCCTATGGGGTCTCCAGATAAGTCTCGGTATGGGGAGTCTACGGGTCTGGTCTCTGTGTGAGTCTACGGGTCTCTGTGTGAGTCTACGGTCTGTGTGAGTCTACGGGTCTCTGTGTGAGTCTACGGGTCTCTGTGTGAGTCTACGGGTCTCTGTGTGAGTCTACGGGTCTCCAGATAAGTCTACGGGTCTCCAGATAAGTTTACGGGTCTCCAGATAAGTCTACGGGTCTCTGTGCGAGTCTATGGGTCTCTGAGTCTATGGGTCCTCTTTGTGAGTCTACGGGTCTCCGTGCGAGTCTACGGGTCTCCGTGCGAGTCTACGGGTCTCTGTGCGAGTCTACGGGTCTCTGTGCGAGTCTACGGGTCTCCGTGCGAGTCTACGGGTCTCCGTGCGAGTCTACGGGTCTCCGTGCGAGTCTACGGGTCTCCGTGCGAGTCTACGGGTCTCCGTGCGAGTCTACGGGTCTCCGTGCGAGTCTACGGGTCTCCGTGTGAGTCTACGGGTCTCTGTGCGAGTCTACGGGTCTCCGTGCGAGTCTACGGGTCTCCGTGCGAGTCTACGGGTCTCCGTGCGAGTCTACGGGTCTCTGTGCGAGTCTATGGGTCCCCTTTGCGAGTCTATGGGTCTCTGTGTGAGTCTATGGGTCTCTGTGTGACTATTGGTTTCTGTGTGAGTCTATGGGTCTCCGTGCGAGTCTACGGGTCTCCGTGCGAGTCTACGGGTCTCCGTGCGAGTCTACGGGTCTCTGTGTGAGTCTACGGGTCTCTGTGCGAGTCTACGGGTCTCCGTGCGAGTCTACGGGTCTCCGTGCGAGTCTACGGGTCTCTGTGCGAGTCTATGGGTCCTCTTTGCGAGTCTACGGGTCTCCGTGCGAGTCTACGGGTCTCTGTGTGAGTCTACGGGTCTCTGTGCGAGTCTACGGGTCTCCGTGCGAGTCTACGGGTCTCCGTGCGAGTCTACGGGTCTCTGTGCGAGTCTATGGGTCCTCTTTGCGAGTCTATGGGTCTCTGTGTGAGTCTATCGGTCTCTGTGCGAGTCTATGGGTCTCTGTGTGACTCTATTGGTTTCTGTGTGAGTCTACGGGTCTCTGTGCGAGTCTATGGGTCTCCGTGCGAGTCTACGGGTCTCCGTGCGAGTCTACGGGTCTCTGTGCGAGTCTACGGGTCTCTGTGCGAGTCTACGGGTCTCCGTGCGAGTCTACGGGTCTCCGTGCGAGTCTACGGGTCTCTGTGCGAGTCTATGGGTCCTCTTTGCGAGTCTATGGGTCTCTGTGTGAGTCTATCGGTCTCTGTGCGAGTCTATGGGTCTCTGTGTGACTCTATTGGTTTCTGTGTGAGTCTACGGGTCTCTGTGCGAGTCTATGGGTCTCCGTGCGAGTCTACGGGTCTCCGTGCGAGTCTACGGGTCTCTGTGCGAATCTATGGGTCTCTGTGTGAGTCAATGGGTCTCTGTGCGAGTCTATGAGTCTCGGTGTGACTCTATTGGTTTATGTGTGAGTCTATGGGTCTCTGTGTGAGTCTATGGGTCTCTGTGTAAGTCTATGGGTCTCTATGTGAGTCTATGGGTCTCTTTGCGAGTCTATGGGTCTCTGTGTGAGTCTATGGGTCTGTGTGAGTCTATGAGTCTCTGTGTGACTCTATTGGTTTCTGTGTGAGTCTATGGGTCTCTCTGCGAGTCTATGGATCTCCGAGTCTATAGGTCCTCTTTGTGAGTCTATGGGTCTCTTTGTGAGTCTATATGGGGGATCTTTGTCTTACCATATGTAGGGCTATTTTAATAAACACAATAGACAGGAAGGACAAGTTCAAAGGGCTCGCAAAATGCACATGCATAATGTACGTTGCCTCAGTCACCCCCCCAAGAGCGCAGAAGGGTGGACAACACATCAACGCGTAGAATGGAAATAATAAAATATAAATAAAACATAATAAAATAATAAAAATATATAAAACATAATAAAATATGTTATTATGTTATATTGATATTTTTATTATTTTATTATTTCCATTCTACGTGACTTTACCGAAAGAACCAAGAAGATGAATCCCTGCAGTCACGAAAGCTTTAAATCGAAGTGCTGTACTAGTGACGAATTGTCCACGTTCTGTTAACGTGACAACCCTGACTGGTTGGCCGTGTCGGGTGCTGGAGGGTTTTAACGACACAACATTTATATATTCACGCAGATCTGACCCACAAACCTCTACTATGGGGGCCTTTCCTGGCAAGATAAAACAGCGGAGTAAAAGCAGCGAGTAGCAACAGCGCCGACGAAGGCTGCCAGCACCGTGACGCACGAGGGGGTGGGTTGCCAGCACCACGCCCGGCCGTCTTTGTATCCCCCGGTGGAGGCAGGGGGGGGGGGTGGAAGTCGCCAAACCTGTGGCGGTGCCGGTCTCCAGCAGGCGCAGCTGAGTGTGGAAGACCTGCTCCAGGAGGCGCGTCAACGAGTTCTTGAGTTTCTCTCTCCGGGAGACCATGTAGCACAGGTTACGCACCTACACGCACGCACACAAAGACAAAGATCCCCCCTGTAGCCTCAACAGACTGTTGGGGAAAGTGCTGTTAGCGAGTAGGACCTACAAAGACAAAGATCCCCCGTGTAGCGAGAAATCTATGAAGGCCGGAACGATACACCGACACACACCAATCCACATACAACAACAACATCTGCCATTCGCCACTAAGTGGCGGTGACGTCACCACGACGCTTGTGCCAGGCCATGTGCACTTTGAGGCCACGTGAAGTATCGAACGCCCGCTGGCAGGAGGTCACGGGGCAGACCCAGCAGGTGCCATGGGTCGACTGACTGAGATGACAGAGATGACTGGCTGATGCACCACCTGTGCCCCCTACTGTACCAACTTGCTATGCTTTAGCCACCCGGAGCGCCGGGTGACCCACATACACACACACACCAACCCACATACGTAGACACACACACACTGACACAGACACACCGACACACACACCAACCCACATACATACACACACACTGACACAGACACACACACTGACACAGACACACACACTAACACAGACACACACACTGACACAGACACACACACCGACACATACACCGACCCACACACACACACTGACACACACACACACACTGACACACACACACCCCGACACACACCGACCCACACACACACACCGACCCACACAGACGCACACACTGACACTGACACACACTGACACACACACACTGACACTGACACAGACACACACTGACACACACACACACACTGACACAGACACACACTGACACACACACGCACACACTGACACACACACGCACACACTGACACACACACACACCGACACCCACACACACCGACACACACACACACACACCGACACCCACTCACCCGCTCCAGGTCTTGTCGCAGGTACATGAACATGCGCATGCGGCGGTAGAGGCTGTCCTCCGACGCCTCGGTGCCCCCCGCGCCGCCGCCGGCCCCCGAGCCGCCAGCGGCCCCCCCGGGCCCCGCCGTGGCGAGGGAGTCCGGGGGGGGGTCCATGAGCGGGCGAGAGAAGGAGGAGCGTCGCTTGAGCTTCCAGTACTGGAAGAGGAGGTCGACCGGAGCGTCGGGGAGACACAGAGACTGGGCCAGCTCCTCACCGGGACCCGCCAGCGAGAAGAACTCCTCCTGATGATACGGAGATACAGAGGCACACACGCACAGACACATGTACACAGAGACACACACAGACACATGTACACAGAGACACACACACACAGACACATGTACACAGAGACACACACACACAGACACATGTACACAGAGACACACACACACAGACACATGTACACAGAGACACACACGGACAGACACATGTACACAGAGACACACACGGACAGACACATGTACACAGAGACACACACGGACAGACACATGTACACAGAGACACACACATGTACACAGAGACACACACACAGAGACACACACATGTACACAGAGACACACACACAGACAGACACATGTACACAGAGACACACACACAGACAGACACATGTACACAGAGACACACACGGACAGACACATGTACACAGAGACACACAGACAGACACATGTACACAGAGACACACACACAGACAGACACATGTACACAGACGCACACGGACAGACACATGTACACAGAGACACACACACACATGTACACAGAGACACACACACACAGACACATGTACACAGAGACACACACACACAGACACATGTACATATATACACAGACACAAACACACACAGTGACACAAACACACACAACAACCGCCATTCGTCACTAAATGACGAACGCAAAGCAGCTTGGTGAGAAGGTGACAACAGTTGGTGCGATTATTCGCAAATGGAAGTAACACAAAAGAACTGTCAATCTCCCTCGGCCTGGGGCTCCATGCAAGATCTCACCTCGTGGAGTTGCAATGATCATGATAACGGTGAGGAATCAGCCCAGAACTACACAGGAGGATCTTGTCAATGATCTCAAGAAAGCTGGGACCAGTCACCAAGAAAACAGTTGGTAACACACTACGCCGTGAAGGACTGAAATCCTGCAGCGCCCGCAAGGTCCCCCTGCTCAAGAAAGCACATATACATGCCCGTCTGAAGTTTGCCAATGAACATCTGAATGATTCAGAGGACAACTGGATGAAAGTGTTGTGGTCAGATGAGACCAAAATGGAGCTCTTTGGCATCAACTCAACTCGCCGTGTTTGGAGGAGGAGGAATGCTGCCTATGAACTCAAGCACACCATCCCAACCGTCAAACATGGAGGTGGAAACATTATGCTTTGGGGGTGTTTTTCTGCTAAGGGGACCGGACAACTTCACCGCATCAAAGGGACGATGGACGGGGCCATGTACCGTCAAATCTTGGATGAGAACCTCCTTGCCTCAGCCAGGGCATTGAAAATGGGTCGTGGATGGGTATTCCAGCATGACAATGCCCCAAAACACACGGCCAAGGCAACAAAGGAGTGGCTCAAGAAGAAGCACATTAAGGTCCTGGAGTGGCCTAGCCAGTCTCCAGACCTTAATCCCATAGAAAATCTGTGGAGGGAGCTGAAGGTTCGAGTTGCCAAACGTCAGCCTCGAAACCTTAATGACTTGGAGAAGATCTGCAAAGAGGAGTGGGACAAAATCCCTCCTGAGATGTGTGCAAACCTGGTGGCCAACTACAAGAAACGTCTGACCTCTGTGATTGCCAACGAGGGTTTTGCCACCAAGTACTAAGTCATGTTTTGCAGAGGGGTCAAATACTTATTTCCCTCATTAAAATGCAAATCAATTCATAACATTTTGACATGCGCTTTTCTGGACTTTTTGTTGTTATTCTGTCTCACTGTTCAAATAAACCTACCATTAAAATTAAAGTCTGATCATTTCTTTGTCAATGGGCAAACATACAAAATCAGCAGGGGATCAAATACTTTTTTCCCTCACTGTATACACACACACAGATACACACACACACACATATACACACACAGAGATAGACACACACATACACACACACACACACAGATACACACACACACACACAGATATACACACACAGATACACACACAGAAACACAATGACAGGTGGCAATGACCTCCTACCTGCAGCTCCTGCAGCTTCTGCTTGCGAAGGCTGGTCTTCTCATCCTCAGTGGGACCACCACCACCACCTCCTCCTCCTCCCGCGTGGCTGCTCCGATGCTGCTGCTGCTGCTGCTGTGGCCGGCGCTTGCTGTGCTTGGAGCAGATGGAGCGGAATCGAACTTCCTCGCCCTCCTCCAGGGTGGTGCGCATCTCCAGGGCGTGCTCAAAGGCGCAGGTGACGTGGAACGCCGTGATGCAGCTCTTCACCGAGCACTGGGACCCAACGGAGACGCGCGGAGAGACTCAGCCTCACGTGAACACCCAACGGGGTTCACGCTCACTCACGTGAACACCCAACGGGGTTCACGCTCACTCACGTGAACACCCAACGGGGTTCACGCTCACTCACGTGAACACCCAACGGAGAGACTCTCAGCCTCACGTGAACACTCAACGAGGTGAACGCTCACTCACGTTAACACGCAACGGGGTGAACGCTCACCCACGTTAACACTTAGCAGCGTTAACACTCACACAGACACGCACGTTAACGCGCAGGCAGGCACTCACTCACTGGTGCCGCATGAACAGCAACGTAAAACGCACGGCCGATGCATCCACGCAGAGGGTCGTTGCGTTCACAGAGATGCCCGCCCCCCCCCGCACCCCCCCCGCACCCCCCCCGCACCCCCCCCCGCCCCCACCTGGATGCAGGCTCCGGTCTTGACGCGGCACAGAGAGCAGACGAGAGCCCAGCGGCTGGGCGGCACTTGGGAGATCTTCGTCACCGGCTCCATCCGCTCGGGGCAACCGATGCTCACCTGCGGGGGGTTGGCGGATCATGCGCGGATGGGAGGTGGAACTACCTTCGACGTGCGGGTGGACTAATCTCCATCTGTTCCATTTCACTCCCTTCCACCCCGTGGGTGGACTAATCTCCATCTGTTCCAGTGGTAGTGTGGTTGGTTGTGTGTTTGGTTGAGTTGTGTGGTTGCTTGAGTGGTAGTGTGTTTGGTGGTGGTGTGGTAGTGTTAGTGTGGTAGTGTGGTGGTAGTGTGGTAGTGTGGTGGGAGTGTGGTAGTGTGGTGGGAGTGTGGTAGTGTGGTGGTAGTGTGGTGGTAGTGTGGTAGTGTGGTAGTGTGGTAGTGTGGTGGTAGTGTGGTAGTTGTGGTGGTAGTGTGGTGGTAGTGTGGTAGTGTGGTGGTAGTGTTAGTGTGGTAGCGTGGTGGTAGTGTGGTGGTAGTGTGGTAGTGTGGTGGTAGTGTGGTAGTGTGGTGGTAAGTGTGGTAGTGTGGTTGGTAGTGTGGTGGAAGTGTGGTAGTGTGGTTGGTAGTGTGGTGGTAGTGTGGTTGGTAGTGTGGTGGTAGTGTGGTAGTGTTAGTGTGGTAGTGTGGTGGTAGTGTGGTTGGTAGTGTGGTAGTGTGATTAGTTAAGTGGTGGTAGTGTGGTTGGTTGAGTGGTGGTAGTGTGGTAGTGTTAGTGTGGTAGTGTGGTGGTAGTGTGGTTGGTAGTGTGGTGGTAGTGTGGTAGTGTGATTAGTTAAGTGGTGGTAGTGTGGTTGGTTGAGTGGTGGTAGTGTGGTAGTGTTAGTGTGGTAGTGTGGTAGGTAGTGTGGTAGGTAGTGTGGTAGTAGTGTGTTAGTGTGATTAGTTAAGTGGTGGTAGTGTGGTAGAGTGGTAGGTAGTGTGGTTGGTAGTGTGGTAGTGTGGTAGTGTGGTAGTAGTGTGTTAGTGTGATTAGTTAAGTGGTGGTAGTGTGGTAGTGTGGTAGTAGTGTGGTAGGTAGTGTGGTTGGTAGTGTGGTAGGTAGTGTGGTAGTGTGATTAGTTAAGTGGTGGTAGTGTGGTAGTGTGGTGGTAGTGTGGTTGGTTGAGTGGTGGTAGTGTGTTAGTGTGATTAGTTAAGTGGTGGTAGTGTGGTAGAGTGGTAGGTAGTGTGGTTGGTAGTGTGGTAGTGTGGTAGTAGTGTGTTAGTGTGATTAGTTAAGTGGTGGTAGTGTGGTAGTGTGGTAGTAGTGTGGTAGGTAGTGTGGTTGGTAGTGTGGTAGGTAGTGTGGTAGTGTGATTAGTTAAGTGGTGGTAGTGTGGTAGTGTGGTGGTAGTGTGGTGGTAGTGTGGTTGGTTGAGTGGTGGTAGTGTGTTAGTGTGATTAGTTAAGTGGTGGTAGTGTGGTTGTGTGGTAGTGTGGTTGGTAGTGTGGTAGGTAGTGTGGTAGAGTGGTAGGTAGTGTGGTTGGTAGTGTGGTTGGTAGTGTGGTTGGTAGTGTGGTTGGTAGTGTGGTTGGTAGTGTGGTAGTGTGGTAGTGTGATTAGTTAAGTGGTGGTAGTGTGGTTGTGTGGTTGGTAGTGTGGTAGGTAGTGTGGTAGTGTGGTAGGTAGTGTGGTTGGTAGTGTGGTTGTGTGGTAGTGTGGTTGGTAGTGTGGTAGGTAGTGTGGTAGTGTGGTAGTAGTGTGGTTGGTAGTGTGGTAGTGTGGTAGGTAGTGTGGTAGTGTGGTTGGTAGTGTGGTAGTGTGGTTGGTAGTGTGGTTGGTAGTGTGGTAGGTAGTGTGGTAGTGTGGTAGGTAGTGTGGTTGGTAGTGTGGTAGTGTGGTAGGTAGTGTGGTAGGTAGTGTGGTAGTGTGGTTGGTAGTGTGGTAGTGTGGTTGGTAGTGTGGTTGGTAGTGTGGTAGTGTGGTTGGTAGTGTGGTTGGTAGTGTGGTAGGTAGTGTGGTAGTGTGGTTGTGTGGTAGTGTGGTAGGTAGTGTGGTAGTGTGGTAGTGTGATTAGTTCAGTGGTGGTGTGTGGTAGTAGAGTGGTAGTGTAGTAGAGTGGTAGTGTGGTAGTAGAGTGGTAGTGTAGTAGAGTGGTAGTTTGGTTGGTTGTGTGGTTGTGTGGTAGGGTGGTAGTGTGATTAGTTGAGTGGTGGTGTGTGCTAGTGCGGTTGTGCGCAGACTCCCACCTCGGGTATCCAGAGGGCGCAGCTCACGTGTGCCCACTTGCTGCCGCTGCGCGTGGGCTTCATGGCGCCGCCCGTCTTGGGGCACAGCAGGCAGGCGGGGCGCACGCCCAGCGCGCACGAGCGGCACAGCCAGCTGCCCTCCGGCACCTTGAGGATGCCGTAGCAAGCCTGCACTCACCAGCCGGAGGGGCACGGGGGGTACACGGAAGGGCACGGGGGGCGTGAGACCGGAATGAGAGGGCTGTTGCACTCGCTCACTCCTCCCTGAGCCACTCGACAACAACAACAACAGGCGCCATTCGGTGACGTCACCGCGGCGCCCGTGCCTGGCCAAGTGTCAAAGGCTCGCTGCTGGCAGGAGGCCACGGGAGACCCAGCAGGTACCACGGGTTGACCCACTGAGATGATTACTGGCCGATGCACCACCTGTACCCCCCCTACTATGCCAGCTTGCTGCATTTTAGCCACCCGGCGCTCTGCTCGTTGTTGTGAGCGTGCTTCGTGAGCCTGCTCCAAAGTCACTCACTCAAGCATTCACCCACGAGCTCATCGACTTATCCTCTAAATCCACCCACCCTCACCTGGTAGACGCACACACTGCAGCGGTCACAGAACACCATCTCACTCACCTACTCACCCACCCACTCACTCAACCAGCCACTCATTCACTCACTCACCCACCCACCATCTAACCCACTCACTTATCCACCCACCCTCTGACCCACTCACCCACCCACTCATCCACCCACCCACTCAACCACCAACTCACTCACTCACCCACCCTCTAACCCACCCACCCACTCAACCACCCACTCACTCAACCAGCCACTCATTCACTCACTCAACCACCAACCATCTAACCCACTCCCTCATCCACCCACCCTATAATCCACTCACCCACCCACTCATCCTCCCACGCACCCACCCTCTAACCCACCCAACCACTCACTCAACCAGCCACTCACTCACTCACCCACCCACCATCTAACCCACTCACTCATCCACCCACCCTCTGATCGCCTCACCCACCCTCATCTGGTGGACACACACGTTGCAGCGGTCGCAAAACACCATTTCCCTCACCCACCCACTCACCCACCCACCCACCCGCCCACCCGCCCGCCCGCCCGCCCGCCCGCCCGCCCGCTCGCCCGCCCGCCCGCTCGCCCGCCCGCCCGCTCGCCCGCCCACCCACCCACTCACCCACTCACCCACCCACCCACGCTCACCTGGTGGACACACACGTTGCAGCGGTCGCAGAACACCATCTCGTTGGCCTCCTCGCAGTCGGGCGAGCGGCACACGTCGCACACCACGTCCTCGTCGTACTCGATGCCCAGGCCCTCCACCGTGTCCATGGCCACTGCCATGCGGTCCTCGCAGCGCCGCTCCAGACGCTCCATCACGCGCTCCGCCGCGGCCTCGTCCACGCGCGGCTCCCCTGCCGGGTCAAAGGTCACCCCCCCGCCCGCGTAGCCATCATGCAACCGCCGGTTGTGGGGGGGGGGGGGGGGGGGGCGGCACCGCCACCACCGCGCCCCGGCCGCCCTGATCTTCGCGGAGGAGATGTTGAGTACGCTAACGCACCGGTCGGCCGGCACAGGTACGGTGAAACTTCGTCCCCTGGCCAAACCCCATTTGGCGGAGCCAGGAGATTTAATCTTTACCCTCGGGGCTCCTCCAGAAACAACAAAAAGCCACTGCGGGTGGCCACGTGGAATGTTCGAACGCTCACTGCGGAGGAGAGGATGCCACTCATCTATCGGGAGCTGGACCGGTACCGCCTGGATCTTTGTGGCATTCAGGAGGTCCGGTGGACCGGCTCTGGCTCCTGCCACCATAAGGGGTGGACAGTCCTCTACCCAGGGCAGGAGACTGCCAAACAACAGGGAGTGGCTCTTCTTCTGAACAAAAGAATTAAGAGGGCATGGGAACGTGGTGGTGAGGTGTGGGAAGCTGTAAGCCCCAGGCTACTTTGGGCTCGCCTTCCATTCAACCAGAGGCGAGGAGTGGTGGTCGTGGTTACTTATGCCCCCACCGAAGACGAACATCCGTGGAGGAACGCAGGCAAGGCCGATGAGTCAGATGCCTTCTATGACCTCCTGTCACAGATGCTGGCTAAAGTGGCCCCTCGGGATAGAGTCATCTTGTTGGGTGACTTCAATGCACGAGTTGGTCATGATGCTGGCACCTGGTCTGGAGTGATTGGAAGGTATGGGCCAGATCAGCTCAATAACAACGGTAGGAGGCTGCTAGATTTTTTTGCAGCCCATGGGCTTGTAATTACCAACATGCTCTTCCGGCATCGGCGCATCCACATAACATCATGGATGCATGCCGGGTCCAAGCAAGAACATCTGCTGGACTACGTAGTGACGGAACAGCGGATGCGGGCCCATGTCCTTGACACCAGGACCTACCGTGGAGCTGATCTGCCCTCTGACCATCGACTTGTCATCTGTAAGATGCGCCTGCCATTCTTCCACTCCGGTGGCCTGGTCTCAGCTAGCTGATGAAAATTGCAGGCGAGAATTTCATCATCGCTTACGGCTGGGGTTGGCATCGTCCCCTACTCCTCCAGATGTCGAGGGTAAATGGGCGAGGTTTAGGAGTGTGACTCAGGCAGCTGCAATGGCTGCTTTGGGTACACGTTCCAGACCTCCCCAGATACCCTGGCTGACAGGAGGTGTTCAGGATGGCTGAGAAAAAGCGACAGGCCCACTCGAATTGTCTACAGCATCCCACGTCAGAGAACGAGGAGGCTTACCGCAGCCTTCGCTCGGAGGTTCGGAGAGCTGTGAGGCGATCACAAATCCTTATTTAACTCCATCAAAACAGTTACCTGCAGCGCCACACCTATTACCATCATTAGGGGAAAAAACAGTGATCCAATCTCCGACCCCCAGAAACAGGTTTGCAGATTTGCTGAGCATTTCTGTGAAGTCCTAGGGGAGGGTAAATCCCTCGACATGGAAAACATCGTGGGACAAAGTGGGGATGACCCTGCTGGGGCTGCGGTGCCTCAAATATTGGAGGAAGAAGTCACCCCCTGTGAGTGGCTAGCTGAGGTGCCATCTGTTGAGGAAGAACTTAAGGCGATCCAGAGTCTGAGACCAGGAAAGGCACTGAGCAGAGATGGTCTCCCAAGCGAAATGCTGAGGGAGGGTGGCGTTTGTGCACAGACTGCCCTACATGACATCATAACAGTCTGGACCACTGGATTGGAACAATTACAGGGGCATTTCACTCGTCAGTGTGCCGGGAAAGGTCCTGGCGAGGATTATTCAACATCGCCTTGCCAAGCACGCTGAGGAGAGGCTTGCTGAGCCTCAATGTGGTTTCAGGAAAGGGCGGCCCTGCACAGATGCCATATTTTCTCGCCACTTGCTACAGCAGAGGTGTAGGGAATTCCAACAAGACCTACATCTCTGCTTTATTCACCTGGTCAAGGCCTATGATACCATCAGTAGGCCTGGGCTCTGGGTTGTTCTCCATGCTTTCGGAGTCCCTGACCCTCTGCTCACGATCATTAAGGACCTTCATGATGGTGAGCGGGCCCGGGTAAAACTACGTGGCCGGGAGTCGGAGCCATTTCCTGTTCACCTTGGGGTGCGACAGGGATGTCCTCTGGCTCCCACATTCAACATCTTTTTCGACCACGTAGTTCATGAAGCCTTTGATGGCTGTACCAGAGGAATTTCCATCTGGTACAGATACAAAGAGAGGCTGATTGATGCCCGGGTGCGATCAAGGGATGGCTCCTTATTGGTCAACCACGTCATGTATGCCGATGATCTGGTAATTGCCGCTCAATCAGAGGAGGAGTTGGAGGCGCTGCTGCTGAAAATGGAGCGTGCCTCTAAGAGGTGGGGCCTTACCATCAGCCCCTCCAAAACTAAGCACCTGCCTGGGTATTTTGTACCATCGGGCAACCCACCACCACAACTCCCAATCGGTGATGGGGCAGTTGTAGAGAGAGTGGAGAGTTTCCCATACCTGGGCAGTGTGCTCATGACCGGCTCCGGTTTGACAGCAGAGGTCTCAAAATCAGTCGAGCGGCATTATCTTTTTATCGGTTGCGTAACGCTGTGTGGAAGCTACCTGGTCTGTCGCTCCTCACGAAGCGTCAAGTCTTCTCGGCCACGGTCATTCCCTCCCTTCTCTACACTTGCAAAACATGGACCCCCCTAATGGAGCATCTTCGCCGGTTGGAAACATTCAGGCTGGCCTGCCTACAATCCATCCTGGGTTTAACCAGGCTGGATTGTGAGAGCTCACAAATCCTTGAAAGATCTGGGCATAGTCCCATCGGTGAGCTCCTCTGGCAGGCAAGGCTGCGTTGGCTGGGTCATGTAGCCTGCATGCCCAGTCACCACATGCCTAAACAGCTTTTGTTCGGCCGGATAGAGGGAACTAAACGGGCGCGGCACGGGCTAGAGAAGAGATGGAGTGATGTGGTGATGTGGTACAGGAGGACGTGGAGCTGAGTGGACTTGCCGATGACTGGTACCAGCGGTGTCAAGATCGGCCTCTGTGGAGGAGGCTCGTGAAATACGCTGCTACTGGCCAGTTGGAGGCAGTCGCCCTCCAACAACAACGGAGGGCGGAGGAGCGACGCTCACAACAACGAGCGGAGCGCCGGGTGGCTAAAGCACAGCAAGTTGGCACAGTAGGGGGCACGGGTGGTGCATCAGCCACTCATCTCGGTCATCTCAGTCAGTAGACCCGTGGCACCTGGGTCTGCCCCGTGACCTCCTGCCAGCGGGCGTTCGACACTTCACGTGGACTCAAGGTGCACATAGCCTGGCACAAGCGTCGTGGTGACGTCACCGCCACTTTGTGGCGAATGGCGGTTGTTGTTGTTGTGTGTATGTACGAGTGTGTGTGTATATGTACGAGTGTGTGTCTCTGTACGTAGTGTAGATGTTAGCGCGCTGCACTACGAACCTGGCGACCCCGGGTTCGATTCCCGCTCACGGCAAACACCAGTGACGATTATCTGAACCAGTCCTGGGCCTCCCCTAGGTCGACTCAGCCTCAAATGAGTACCTGGTGCGGTGTGTAAACATCGCCGTTAGGGAGACAAAGGCGGTCGGGCGTGGTGCTGGCCACCCACCCCCTCGTGTACCGTTCCGGCCTTCATAGGTGCTCGCTAACAGCACTTGCCCCTACAGTCTGTTAAGGCTATACGGGGGATCTTTGTCTTTGTCTCTGTACGTGTCTCTGTTTACGTGGCCTTAACGTGCCCATAGCCTGGCGCAAGCGCCGTGATGTCACCACCGCTTAGTGGCGATTGTTTTTGTGTATATGTACGAGTGTGTGTGTCTCTGTACGTGTGTGTGTCTCTGTAGGAGTGTGTGTCTCTATTTATGTGGCCTTAACGTGGCCATAAGCCTGGCGCAAGCGCCGTGGTGATGTCACCACCACTTAGTGGCGAATGGCGGTTGTTGTTGTTGTTGTGTGTGTAGACCCCACACACCCATGCGCTGGAGTTCGCGGTTGGCCATCTGTAGCCAGGAGAGGTCGGTGTCGTCCAGGTCGTAGTGGCAGGTCGCCTGGATGAGCGAACGCAGGTCGGCGTAGCCGGGTGTTGGAGACTCCAGGTCCGACATCTGGATGTACTTCCTGGTCCGTGCAAACGTCACGGCCTTCTCGCGCTCCGCCAGTATCCTGGGGCGAGAAACGGGGAGGGGGGGGGGGAGCATGAGAAGAGACGCACGGGGGAGGAGACGCACGGGAGAGGAGACGCACGGGGGAGACGCGTGAAAGGAGAGCGAAAACGGGGGGGGAGACGCGGGGGAGGTGAGCGGAGACACAGGGGGGAGACACGGGAAGGGTGGGGGGAGATGCGGGGAAGGCGATGGGAGACACGGGGGAGACGCGGGGACGGTGAGCGGAGACACGGAAAAGAGACACGGGCCAGGAGGGGACGGGGAGGGGGTGGGGCGGGGGTGGGGAGGGGGTGGGGAGGGGGTGGGGCGGGGGTGGGGAGGGGGTGGGGAGGGGGTGGGGCGGGGGCGGGGAGGGGGTGGGGCGGGGAGGGGGAGAGGAGGGGGCGGGGAGGGGGCGGGGAGGGGGAGGGGGCGAGGAGGGGGCGGGGAGGGGGGGGCTGTCACCTGACGCTGGGCTCTGGGTAGTCGTGCTCGCTGCACACAGGCACCTGCACTCCCTTCTCCCACTCGGGCTTCCAGGCGTCCGCCATGACGTAATACTCGCCGGGGCCCAGCTGTGCCGAGTCCGGCACCTTCATGGCGCTGATGAGGTCCTTGCGGTAAACCTCCGCCGGGCGGTGAGACGAAGATGACGACGGCGTTGGTGGCGGCGGTGGCAACGGCGATGTCACCGTCGCCACGGCCACCGACGACGATGACGACGTCGCCGATGGCGTCATCGTCGCTGCTGCTGCGGCGATGGCGGCCGACGATGCCGATGAGAATCGGTGCGATCGTGATTTTAGTTGAGGCTGCTGCTGCTGCTGAGGAGGGTGAGGAGGGTGAGGAGGGTGATGTTGGTGAGGGTGATGCTGTTGCTGCTTGGAAGAGGACGATGAGGGCGGTGGTGGCCAAGAGGGAACAGTGGCAGCACCTGCGTACAGGGGATACAAACGCGGACAGACAGATGCAGTCGACACAGATCCCCCCGCGTAGCCTCAACAGACCGTTTGGGCGAGCGCTGTTAGCAGCAGCAGCACGATGAGTGGCGTGATCGGCACCACGCCACTCCTGGCTAGCACCACACCCTTCCTGGCCGCCTTTGTCTCCCCAGTGCTGATGTTTCATTCACAGACCCACATACCCAGGAAGTAATTTCAGGCTAAGTTGACATAGGGGGTGGCTCGTCAAGGGTTCAGATATTCTATGAGACATCTCCTTTACCAGTGGCAAAATATAGTAGTAGGTTTTTACCCTTTCAACTGGTACAAAAACTGACACCTTTATACAAGGCATCATGTTTGCAATAAACACAACACAAGCAGTCAAAATGCAAACAAAAAGAAACAACTCTGATGATGATGATAATGATATGCACTGTCCTTGAAGTTGATTGGTCCACACCCGAGGCTCTAAGAAAAGCTGACTCGCTGCGTTTTAGCCGCTCGGCACGTTCACTCGGCCCCACGTCATCTTGCACCGCATCGGGGGCCCCCCCCCCTCTCCTTCAGCCGGCACCGCGCCCGTTCAGCCCCCTCCATCCGGCAAAAAAAGACCCAAGCTGCGCGGGGCAGCGTGCGGCGGGTTGGCGTGCGGGCCACGCGATCCGGACAAACGCAGCCTCCTCCGCGTCACGAAGCCGCCTCGACTAAAAGCAGGACTCCCACGAGCGGAGGGGAGAAGCGCTCACTCACCGTCCGACTCGTCACTCGAACAGGAATTCCTGCCCTTCTTCATGGTGCTGCAAACGCACGCACAGAGAGAGACACACACAAGACACACGCACACAGAGAGAGAGACACACACACACACAGAGAGACACACACACACAAGACACACACACACAGAGAGAGACACACACACACACAAGACACACGCACGCCGTTGTCAATCTTGATTTGAAGCTTTCGTGACTGCAGGAATCCATACTCTTTGGTTTATTCGGTAAAGTCACGTAGGTAGACAAAATAATACATCACGACGTTTCGATCGCCACACAAGCAATCGTCTACCTACGTGACTTTACCGAAAGAACCAAAGAGTCGTCGTCGTCGTCATCACACCGGCGAAATGTCGCCAGCTACTCGAAATGTAAATGTTGCCGTGGGTTCACTCTCCGACAAAAGACAAAGATCCCCCGTGTAGCCTTTAATAAACTGTTGGGGCAAGTGCTATTAGCGAGTAGCAACCTATGGAAGGCTGGTACTGTGGAACACAAGGGGGTGGGTGGCCAGCGTCACGCCCGGTCGCCTTTGCCTCCCCCAATGGCGATGTTTTTCTGTACCGTACCAGGTACTCATTTGAGGCCGAGTCGACCAAGAGGAGACCCAGGACCAGTTCAAGTAATCGTCACCGGTGTTGGCCGTGAGCGGGAATCGAACCCGGGTCGCCAGGTTCGTAGTGCAGGGCGCTAACCGCTCAACAACCGCTCCGCACTCAACTACCGCTCCGCACTCACTCTCAAACACACACCGGTTAGTGGTGACCTCGTAATTCATTGTACACGCTTTGTTGACTTGACGAACCTTACCAAGTGGCCGTGTCGGGTGGCGGCGGGTTTAACGACACGTTTACATTTGCACGATCTAACCCAAAAACCTCGACTATGGATAAGATTGGTCGCGAAAGCCTCCTCCTACTACTACGTGTTAAACTGAGCATCGATCATTCAATATTTGCCGCGTCCCAGTCCGTTCTCACCAACGACAGCGGCAGCAGCAATATGCCCCTGGGGCTGCTCGATGCCCAGTGCGGAGCGCTGCTGCTACTGCTCACGACGAGAGGGCTTCAACAGAGGACAGCTTGCCGAGTGTTTGTTATTCCTGCGTTGAAGGAGCGCAGAGACGACAGTGGTCGCTATATGGCGCCTAAACTTACACTGCCCTGAGACTCGACACCCAGTCAAGCCCACTGGGTTCATTCTAGATTTGAAGCTTTCGTAACTGCAAGGATTCATACTCTTTGGTTTCTTCGGTAAAGTCACGTAGGTAAGAAAAAAAATAAATGAAAACAACTAAATTTAATCACGACGTTTCGGGCGCAACACAAGCGTCCTTGTCTAAGAGATGGCTGTGACGAGAAATTATATAGTCGTTGAGGATGGAGGGAGGGGCCCCTGCATCACAAAGCTTCAGTTTGAACTCCATGCGTTGCCTCCCAGCGCCCCCCCCTGTGCCTCACATCGTTGCCTCCCAGTCCACTGCCCGCCCCACACTATCCATGGCCCCTCCCCTCCCTCCATCTCCCGCGACTGTATAATTCCTCGTCACAACCATCTCTTAGACACACTGAAGCGGTTGTGCTTTCACTACGTTGTCCCCACCTGAAGAAGGACGCTTATGATTGAATTTAGTTGTTTTCATTTATTTTATTTTTTTACCCACTGGGATAATGTCACCCAGACACAACGTGGTTTGAACCCGGGACGTTAGCTATACCAACTCAGTGTGTCTCTGACACGACCATTATGAACCTACGGAGAGAGACACCCAGACACAACGTGGTTTGAACCAGGGACACGAGTTACACCAACTCAGGGTGTCTCTGACACGACCATTATGAAGTTACGGAGAGAAACACCCAGACACAACGTGGCTTGAACCCGGGACGTCAGCTACACCAACTCAGTGTGTCTCTGACACGGCCATTATGAACCTACGGAGAAAGACACCCAGACACAACGTGGCTTGAATCCGGGACGTCAGCTACACCAGCTCAGGGTGTCTCTGTTGGCATAGTACTGGATTAGTTTTATCAGTACCATAGATTCAAACTGCATTTAAAACACACACACACACGCTCTCCGATGCATCCAATACAAATAACTTCGCATTAATATTCTTTGGGTTTTTCGGTAAAGTCACGTAGATAGGTTCAAAGAAAATAACAAAAAATAACAAAAAACTATGACGTTTTCATCGCAACACAAGCGGGTTTTTTCCCCGATGACAAACGTGTTGCATCTTCTTCTACGTGACTTTACCGAAAGAACCAAGAAGATGAATCCCTGCAGTCACGAAAGCTTTAAATCGAAACGTGTTGCAATCGAAACGTCGTAGTTTTCGTTATTTTATTTGAATCTACCTAAGTAACTTTACCGAAAGACCCAAAGAATATTAATTTCTGCAGTCACGAAAGCTTTAAGTCAAGATTTCACTTCGCATTAAGTGTATATAAGCTCAGGCATGTATGAAGGTCCAATCGCATCATCCACACCATACAAACGATCGCTGTCGGTCCAACTGATCGACTGCACCAAGTAAGCTTCTTCTGTACAAACCTCTACAGTCTTCTTGGTTCTTTCGGTAAAGTCACGTAGAAGGGAAATAATAAAATAATTAAAATAAAACATAATAAAATAATTCTCACGACGTTTCGGCCACAACGCAAGCAGCCGTCCTCATGTGAAGAACAGGTCTGTCGGGAAGACAGCGTCTGAATGAAACACCCCAGGCTTGGAGCGTATATTTAAGCTGGGTTGGAGGGGGAAGAGCGCCTTGACAAAATAATTTGCATATCAAGAGGAATTTAGCATATTTATGGGAAATGCAGATATGGGATTAGTACTACTTGTGAAAAGCGTAGGAGGTGGGCGGAGGGTTTCAAAGTCATATTATGCCTGTGCATTATGCAGGATTAGCAGCATCAAAGGGAGGGGATAGGGGTAGCATTAATAATAGAGTGTTTGCAACCCACAGACACGACATTGTAAACACTAGTTAACACGAGCACATGCTCGCATTATAAAGTACGAACATTAGCACACGCAACACCAAACAATGCTTTCCCTTTGACGATCGTAACCCCGAGCTGGTCACAACACTCACGGCTCTGCTTTCTCTCTGGAAAGCATTCAAATTACCCAATGGGAAAGTCTCTCCAATGCTGGATGAAGGCTTCCCTCCCCTACCTGTCGGGAAGACAACTCTATGTGCTCAGCTCGCTCCTCTCCCTCAAGGAAATCTCAATCCGAGGTTTGTTCGCTCCATCTCCTCCTAATCCTCCTCCACCAAAGATCCCCCCCCCCCCCCATGTTGCCCGAACAGACTGTTGTGGGTTTACTCTCCAACACACACAGATTGTAAATGTTGTGGGTTTACTCTCCAACACACACACAGATTGTAAATGTTGTGGGTTTACTCTCCAACACACACACATGTTGTAAATGTTGTGGGTTTACACTCCAACACACACACAGATTGTAAATGTTGTGGGTTTACTCTCCAACACACACACAGATTGTAAATGTTGTGGGTTTACTCTCCAACACACACACAGATTGTAAATGTTGTGGGTTTACTCTCCAACACACACAGATTGTAATTGTTGTGGGTTTACTCTCCAACACACACACATGTTGTAAATGTTGTGGGTTTACTCTCCAACACACACACAGATTGTAAATGTTGTGGGTTTACTCTCCAACACACACAGATTGTAATTGTTGTGGGTTTACACTCCAACACACACACAGAGTGTAAATGTTGTGGGTTTACTCTCCAACACACACAGATTGTAAATGGTGTGGGTTTACTCTCCAACACACACATGTTGTAAATGTTGTGGGTTTACTCTCCAACACACACACAGAGTATAAATGTTGTGGGTTTACTCTCAAACACACACACAGATTGTAAATGTTGTGGGTTTACTCTCCAACACACACACAGATTGTAAATGTTGTGGGTTTACTCTCAAACACACACACAGATTGTAAATGTTGTGGGTTTACTCTCAAACACACACACAGATTGTAAATGTTGTGGGTTTACTCTCAAACACACACACAGATTGTAAATGTTGTGGGTTTACTCTCAAACACACACACAGATTGTAAATGTTGTGGGTTTACTCTCAAACACACACACAGATTGTAAATGTTGTGGGTTTACTCTCAAACACACACACAGATTGTAAATGTTGTGGGTTTACTCTGCAACACACACACAGATTGTAAATGTTGTGGGTTTACTCTCAAACACACACACAGATTGTAAATGTTGTGGGTTTAATCTCCAACACACACAGATTGTAAATGTTGTGGGTTTACTCTCCAACACACACAGATTGTAATTGTTGTGGGTTTACTCTCCAACACACACAGATTGTCAATGTTGTGGGTTTACTCTGCAACACACACAGATTGTAATTGTTGTGGGTTTACTCTGCAACACACACAGATTGTCAATGTTGTGGGTTTACTCTCCAACACACACAGATTGTAATTGTTGTGGGTTTACTCTGCAACACACACAGATTGTCAATGTTGTGGGTTTACTCTCCAACACACAGATTGTAAATGTTGTGGGTTTACTCTGCAACACACACACAGATTGTAAATGTTGTGGGTTTACTCTCCAACACACACACAGATTGTTATTGTTGTGGGTTTACTCTCCAACACACACACAGATTGTAAATGTTGTGGGTTTACTCTCCAACACACACACAGATTGTAAATGTTGTGGGTTTACTCTCCAACACACACACATGTTGTAAATGTTGTGGGTTTACTCTCCAACACACACACAGATTGTAAATGTTGTGGGTTTACTCTCCAACACACACACAGATTGTCAATGTTGTGGGTTTACTCTCCAACACATACACATGTTGTAAATGTTGTGGGTTTACTCTCCAACACACACACAGATTGTCAATGTTGTGGGTTTACTCTGCAATACATCATTGTGCTGTACAAGTAACGAATTTGCACGTTCTGTTGACGTGACACAAACCGTACGAATTGTCTGTGTCGGGTGAAGGCGAAGTTATATTTACGCGATCTCCCCCCACCAAGAAGCAACCTATATAATGTATGATATTGGTCGCGAAAGCCTCCTCCCGCTGTTAAAGCCACGAGTTGTAGACGTTTACCTGCTCGAGGCCTCTCCTCACGGGCTGCTGCACGGAATTCGCTGCTGCGGCAGCGGCGGCGGCGGCGTTGACAGCATCGCAGCTGACGCCCGCGGCTTTCTATCGCCGTCACCACCTCGCGCACTCTCCTCCTCGCTAACCTCCTCGCCGCTGTCGTCGTCGTTGTCGCTACACAGAGGGTGCTTTAAAAACACACAACATCGACTAGAGTGTCGAGAATTGTGTGAGGCTGAGGCGGTGGCCTAGCGCAGCGGGCAAGTCGAGCGCGGCCTACACCGCGCAGGCTTCTTCGCGCCGTCCGCTCTCGGCTGACGGGGTGGGGGGAGAAGCCAGAGAAGTCTTCGCCTGGTCCCTGCGAAGAGGGCGCGGGGCTCGGCTTGGTGGCGGGTTGACGACGAGGTGGAGGTGGAGGAGGTGACACGGAGGGGGGTGACGAGGCGGTGGTGATGGTGGAGGTGGCGGGAAAAGCGCGCCAACAACAAAAAGTGGTCGCCTCAGCGGTGGCGCGGCGCCATGGCGGTGACGTCACGCGCCATATAAGGGCATCGGCAGTTTGACCGTTTTATATTTATTTGTTTAGATTTCATATTTTTTAGTTTATATTTTTATATTTCCATGTACAGTATTAGTTTACAATTTACGTTTTTATATTTATTAGATTTTTTTATCTTATATTTTGTATTTCTTAATTTATATACATTTAATCAGCTTATACTGTATTTTTATTTTAAAAATTACATTTTATATTTCTTATTTAACATTTTTTTGTATATTTTAATATTTTACTGTATGCTTTTACATCGTATTTTTTTGCTTATATTTAAATTTAGTCTAAATTTTATATTTAACACTTCATTCTATATTTATGTCATATTTAACGTTTTATATTAATTTGTTTTACCTGATTTAATATTTTTTATGATGTTCAATATTTTTTTTGTTTTATACTTATTTACACGTTATATTACATTTAATATTTATTTTATTCATATTAATTCCATATTTTTTTAAATCTATTTTTAATCATCGCCACGAGACGGGGAGGGCGTGAACCCGGGGGGAGGGGGTCTCGAGAGAGCGGTGATGGCGTCGCTCGCTTCGCTCTTCCTTCTTATTACAATTGTCACAAACCCACAAGTTCACGACTCTGCTGTTATTGGCTTTTCTATTATATCGCTGGACGCCTGTCAAAGAGCTTAGAGCTCATCGGAGTCCTCCACTATCGATACACAGTCGGGTCGTTCGTCGCTGATGGTGCTGCTGTTGTAACACTATAATACTGTACAGGCTCGCGTAATGTTAATACTATTATTCCGCTCGTTTTGATATTAAATCGCGATTTTGTGTCAGTGTTTTGTCGCTTCTTTTTAGTTATTGCGATATTTAGTTTTGCCCGCGGTGTGTACGATGGGGAATTTAAGGTGAGGAATTTTAAGAAACCTGGCGTAGTAACCTCATTTCACCATCGCAGTTACACTGTAGTACACAACGACCAATGTTGTTATTATTTCACTGATTTTACAATTTTATTAAAATTTTATCTGACAGCAGCGTTCAATTATTTTAGTTATTGCGATATTTCCCTTTGCGCAGGGCGTGACCGATAATAAAATGTTTTTATTTTGGTTCGCTGCTCTGAACAGTCCGCTCCCGCGGTATACCAAGGCTTGCTGCACGATATCGCAATTCCCGCGATATGGCGATTATCGCGATATCGTGCCGCACCATACAACGCGATATCGCAATTCCCACGATATGACGATTATCGCGATATTGTGCAGCACCATACAACACGATATTGCGATTCCCACGATATGGCGATTATCGCGATATCGTGCCGCACCATACAACACGATATGGCGATTATCGCGATATCGTGCCGCACCATAAAACACGATAGTGCAATTCCCACGATATGGCGATTATCGCGATATCGTGCCGCACCATACAACACGATATTGTAATTCCCACGATATGGAGATTATCGCGATATCGTGCTGCACCATACAACACGATATCGCAATTCCCACGATATGGCGATTATCGCGATATCGTGCTGCACTATACAACACGATATCGCAATTCCCACGATATGGCGATTATCGCGATATCGTGCTGCACTATACAACACGATATCGCAATTCCCACGATATGGCGATTATCGCGATATCGTGCTGCACTATACAACACGATATCGCAATTCCCACGATATGGAGATTATCGCGATATCGTGCTGCACTATACAACGCGATATCGCAATTCCCACGATATGGCGACTTATTGCGATATCGTGCTGCACAATACAACACGATATTGCAATTCACACGATATGGCGATTATCGCGATATTGTGCTGCATCGTGCAACAGGATATCGCAATTCCCACGATATGGCGATTATCGCGATATGGCGATTATCGCGATATCGGTTTCACTGCCCAGAGATTCCAACTAGTGCCAATTTACAACCCACAGATAGAGGATTCGCAATGATTTGGGTGGTCACGTGACTAGAACACTAGAGGCAGCTGAAGCAAGTAGCTGACGTGATCGTCGTGATCGTCGCGTGGAGATTTAAAGCAGCGGCCAAATCCTCTGAATCCACGCGGTGACCACCACGGGGAGAGACACACACAGAGAGAGACGCAGACTCCACAGATACAGCAACAGCAGCAGGCTTCGTCAGGGTCGGGATCTAACCCACGACCTCCTGTGTACCAGGCGAGGTAGTCAACATCTCCTAGCCACCGTGGTGATGACGAGAGAGACGTAGACTCCACAGATACAGCAACAGCAGCAGCAGGCTTCGTCAGGGTCGGAGTTGAACCCACGACCTCCTGCGTACCAGGCGAGGTAGTTAACATCTCCTAGCCACCGTGATGATGATGATGAGAGAGACGCAGACTCCAAATATACAGCAGCAGCAGACATCGTCAGGGTCAGGATCGAACCCACGACCTCCTGTAAACCATCAGCATAATCACGGTGACTAGGAGATGTTAACTACCTCGTCTGCTACGCAGGAGGTCGTGGGTTTGACCGTGACACCTGCTGTATATTTGGAGTCTTGCGTGTCTCTCTCCCGGCGGTCACTGCGTGGATTTGTTGGAGCTGTTATCATTCTTAGGTTTTTTTCAGTAAAGGCACGTAGGTATTCATCTCTTGAAGAAGGCCAGCGTCTCGAGAAGCTGTGACTTCTTGTCTCGTCTGTTAAAAACTCTAACAGATAGGTGGAATTCCTCCCCGTAGAGGGCATTAATTCTAGATTTGAAGCTTTCGTGACTGCAAGGATAATGCCCTCTACGGGGAGGAATTCCACCTATCTGTTAGAGTTTTTATCAGACAACGAGACAAGAAGTCACAGCTTCTCGAGACGCTGGCCTTCCTCAAGAGATGAATACCTACGTGCCTTTACTGAAAAAACCTAAGAATCCTTTCAGTCATGAAAGCTTCAAATCTAGCTGCTATCATTGTTGACGGCCAGGCCAGGGCGGCCTCTGAACGAGAGCTACTCAGCAGCAGCAGCAGCAGCTTATTGTGGCCTGACACGTGGTGACGATGCATCGACAGCGGTACCCCGGAGATTGAACTTCATTCGTTCCAGGAGGCCATTTGAACACCGATTTGTTCGAACACCGAATTAATTTCCCCCATAAGAATTCATGTAAATGACATCCATTGGTTCCAGGCACAAGACATATCTCGTTATAAAGCATTTTTACGCGAAGTTTACACAATAATAACGGATGAACTGCCCTTCTGGGGTTCTTCCTCTTGTGTGCCTCTGTTCTGCCACTAACTGTGAGTCTCTTGAGCTCTTTCTGACTAAAAACTTATCCTAAGAGGTTTGTTTCTGCCTCTCACACGGTAAAATCTTTCACTGGGCAAGCGTCATGCACGCTGCCATACGCGTCTCAGCCGTACAGGCAATTTCAAGTCGCGATTGGCCCGTTCGACCTCCGAATTTCGTTCGGTTTCCGGGGAAAAAAATGTTCGTAAAAATCGTTCGAACACCGATTTGTTCGAGTTCTGGTGCGTTCGATCTCCGAGGTTCTACTGTAGTTTAGTTTTTGTTTTCAGCCAATGAACGTGTTTGTTGTTATAATCGTGATACGTGTGTAACGCGATAAACAGGGGACTTACCTGCACTAGCAGACATCCACCAGCAGGGGGTGATGTGTGGGCCACCAAGGTTCCCCAGACCCCAAGAGGGGGGGGGGCTGGGGGGGGGGAAGATTCCAGGTCCCTCTGGAACTCTGTGGAAGGGGGGCGTGGCCAGGGGCGTGGCCAGGGGCGTGGGGACCCTGGCAGGTGTATAAAAGCCGGACCCCTGACCCGGGCTCGGCAGTGTTCCTCAAGCCGAAGACTGAAGACCGAGCTTAGAGTAGGACCCTGAGACCCCCAGACCCGCTGTCCTTGTAAGGGCCGGGACTGAGTGGGCCAGTGGCCGGGACCCGAGGACCTTGGCTGGGTCGGGTCAGGGTAGCCTCCCCTAGGAACTGTAGCCGGAGGGCCGAGTGCAGAGTGGTCCCCCGTGTGAGGAGGCACGACAGCCCGGAGGGAACCAACCGGATGGCGTAACGTCATTGATGGCGCGACGGCCACAGGAGGCCGAAATCTTGGCCACCGGAGCTGCAGTACGCGCCAAGCAGAAGACTCCGTGCTGCCCGGGGGATGATCGCTGACCGTCCAACAGCACCTGCCGGCGCTGAAGGCGCAATTGGACGGCCTTCCAGCCCCGCTTCCTCTCGCACTGCGAGATGGCCAGATGGTCGGAGGCGGAAGCGCTCCGGGCGCTTCCAGCGGCATTGGACGACGACGCCCTCGCCGCGCTCATCACCATACCACAGGGGGACCGCTCCACACTGCAACAGGCGCTCCTCCGCATGCAGGCGATTTGCAGACCGCCGTCGGAATCACGCCATCACTTCAACAACAGAAGGAAGGGTGAATCTCCCCTTGCCTCCCGCAGTGCGCTGCTGGCCCTGGCCAGAGCCGCGTTCCCACGCATTGATCACGAAGGGATCGATGCGCTAGTGTTGGAGAAGCTCCTCAGCCTGGCACAGGAGTTGCGCATCGTGATGCCAACAGTGGACGACGAAAACTTTTGCTTCCTGCATGCCGCACGGTGCATTCAGGCGCACTTGGTACTACAGAGGGACTCCAGCATCGCGCCCTGCACTGCGCCGATCAACGCCGGCAACCCCGAGAAGGAACGTCACCAGGACCAGGTCTTCGCGTCCTCTTCAGCGCAGAATTGGCAATCCAACGATCGCCGTCGCCAACAGGATTCCCGCCAGCGGGCACGGACGCCTCCGCGCCGCGAGGGAGCGTCCATCACTTGCTACAACTGCGGCCTGCGAGGACGCGTGTCCTCGGGATGCCGCGCTCCTCGCCGCCGAGTCTCCGGTCCACGCTCCTCGCACAGCTTTCGCCTTCACCTTCACGACGGACTCAGGCAAGTCGCGGCACCTCACGTTCTCGGCCCCCACACGACACTCGCACACTCCGCCA